AATTTAGTTTTTTATATTATGAAAAAATAAATTAGATCTCTAATCAAACTCATTATTTTTATTTTCAGATTGTAATACTTAATCAAGGTCGTATATAAATTAATATTTAATCTTATTAGTTTAATAGGTAAATTAATTTATTACTATTCTTATATTTTATGGTACCTAAATTTATTAAAATAAAATTTTTATATAATTTATAGGTTAATAATCTTTTTTTTTCTTCAAAAAGTAAATATTGAAAAAATAACGAATAAAGGCCAGACCTTTCTAACATTCGAAAGTATAACGTTTAAAAGTAGAAGATGACAAGCCGTAAAAAGAGCGCTTGCGAATTAAAAATTTATTCTAATCTTCTGCCTTTAGTTTGTTAATAATTCTGAATAATTTGCATATTTTAAAATAGGCCCTATTCAAAAAGGAATATGAATCGAGTCAATTCGTTTAAACAAATGTAATAACTTATAATTCAAAAGGCTATTTTCTAAATATATTTCAAATAATCTCAATATTTTCTTGACTTTATAAAATTATGATACATGTCCAAAATCTTCCATTAAATCTTTTAAAAGTTTTATAAATTTACAATTCCTACCAAATTATTTTTATACTTCCCATTTCGATTAATATAACTGCATATTTCTTATTATAATTTGAAAGATATAAATTAATGATTGCTTACTTAGAACTAAAACCAACCATGTTAATTCTTGTATAAAACGTAAAAGGATCGACAAATAGAGGATAAAGACACCCTCCCCAAAGGTCAGTTGTAAGTTAATATAAAGGACATAATTTATTATAAAATAAAACGATACGAGAAAGTGCATTAATACACAATACTCTCAATTTCAATGTATTTTCATATATAGTTATAGATACTTTAAAGAATAATCATATAAAGAAACAATTGCATGAAACAAAATTATTAATAATGACTACCAAATGCTGAATTTCTCAAAGGGTAGAACGCGGTAATATAGTTTTAGCCAAGCGGTAATACGATTTTGAGAAATAAAATGTAACATTTATATCACCTATAAAATAATAATAACTAGCAATTTTTTTTAAAAAAAACAAAGTGAACAATGCAAGTTTGTATTAGTTTTGTTTTGATTTATTTGAATTGGATCAAGAGAATTTTTTTTAAAATAAAATAATATAAAATATTTTACTAATATTTTGGTGTTACGAGAAAGAGGTTAGAGTTAAAAGGTCATAGAGGGTCAGGGTTAATATATAATATAATAAATATATTGGCTCAATAGCTACCCACTTTTTAAAAATTTTAACATATATTATAATCAGGTATTAGGATTTTCATTTTTTCTTTCTTTTCTTTATTTATCTTTTTTAAGATGGATGTTTGAGTTTCAAAAATCAACAAGTTTACTGTGGTAGTTTTTGATCAACATCGGCGGCAATATTATTAATTAGATTCAATTATTGAAATGTAGAAGACGCTTTTGTTTAAATAAGGATAAATAAATATTACACTTCAAAATAGAGTTTTGGCGAATTTAAAGAATCTTTATGTAAATAGTGGATATTGTCAAGGTTCATTTAATTTCGAAGAAAAAGATTTAATTTAGTTCATAATTCCCTTAAATTAAAGAAATTTATATGGAGACAATTTTTCTAATTTTTTATAATATAAATGAATGTTTGCATATAAGAAGTATTAAATCGTCTTCGACAAATACTAAAGATAGAAATCCTGAAATACCGATTTCCCAACATATAAGATATGTATATATTTTATGGAGAAGATGATAAAACACATAAATATTACATAGGAGTACAAAGCAGTATGTTATATACTATGCAAAGGCCTTTGCGCCTCGCTGCCACCAATTATTTATTATCCTATAGAACGCAAAAACTTGACATAAAAATATTTATCACAAATAAAAACTTATACTAGTATTATATCCAATATCCTTTATATTTCTTACGCATGGTTCTAAATAAAAATCAGAGAGAAAATTTCGAAGCTTTTTTACTCATGAATGGGATCTGTTAGAAGAACTTTTAAAGTTCTTAAGCTTGTTCAGAGAGTCCGTTACTTTTCTATCAGCTCAATAAAGCTCTAATCAATTAACTACTACTCCGTAGTAAAATTGAAAATCAATTGGTTCCTAATGAATCATACAGTCAAAGTATTAAATTGTTTAAGCAAAATATGATGGAGAAACTGGACCATAGATCAATAACCGAACTTCAAGTATTTATTCTAATCATTTAATTTTTTTTTTGTAAATTGGTATTAGCAAGCCTTCTCGATCCTCAATTTCAACGACTAAAAATAATAACCAAATATAAAGAGAATGAAAATCTAACGCCAAAGCATATTTTTATTTGAACAATTGAAATTTTTTTTAATATCAACAAGATAACAATGTTTCTGTGGATAATAGTGTCAAAAATTAATATCTTCATAAATTAGCCCAAAAACATTCTGATTTCAATATTGAGATTATCTCTAACAAGAGCAAGAATGTTATTTGTTTATAGAACAGCAAGCCCAAATTGAAACTGACGTGATGGTATTTTGGAAATGCAAAGAGCTAGAATCACCCAATTTAGAAATACTTGCTAGGAAAATACTTTCCATTTCAGCTACCAATACTCTGAGTGAACGTATTTTCCCATGTTGCTGGTTTGATATTAAATTTTAAAAAATTTCCATTATCTCCAGATAACTTAGAAATAATTATATATACCTGATAACTACAGTTATATATCTTCTAATATAAATTTGTAAATTCAATTAGTACATTTAAATTTAGATTTATGTGTATTCATTAGAGTATTCCCTTCTGATAAATAATATTACACTGTCTGTTATGTATGTTGTTTTATCGAGTCGGCTTAAAAATGCAAATGTGTCACCCGTGAGATAATATATTGGCGCATAGGTCTAATTATCCATAAAAAATTCGAGCCATATTATATTTATCTAAGAAAAAGGAATGTGCAAAGATTGGATAAAAAATAAACTGATTTCCTTGGTTATAAAAAAATAAAAAATCCAATTAAGAAAGTGTATTTGATGAATGATGCCCTGCAAAGTAATTTCGCGTCCTGAGCCCCATCCGAGCTCGGATTTAAATTTTATGTCCGAACCCGATCTTAGCACTCATCTTTAGGTCCAATCCAACCAGAGCCTAACTAAAAAAAAATTCTAATTTGGGATCAAATATAATATAGAAACAATTAAAAATTATGTGTATCTATTTATTCACATTCACTTTAAATAAACAAAAGTATACAATCCTCTTAATCTAATATATTTTTATATAAAGTTGCTTTTATTTAATTGTATACATAAATTTTTTTCTGTTTTAATATAAATAAAAAGTAAAGTTAAAATACAATCAAATTTAAAAATTATTGTGATTATATAAAAATAATTTGCATAATTGATGTCAAAAAGATGATATAATTGTTTACATAGAGAAAAAATATCAAAAAATATAATAATAAACATATTAAAAAAAGACATATCAATATCAGTTATTCTGACTAAAATTTTTATGAATTAAAATAATTAGAGGATATTTGCAATATTGAGAATATTTGTATTTAAATATTTATTTATCAGGTTGGGTTGGGCTTTGAGTCAGGATCTTTTACAGCCTGACCCACCAGTCTTCAAAGTCTAAACTTGACCCAAGCTCAAGACTTGGCTGGGCTCAAACTTGCAAATTAAACAAGATGTTATTATTATAATAAAATCATAATAAATTCTTAAAATAAAACAATGGTAAAATTATCACTGGTCATTCCAAAAATTAAAAAAACAATGAATTTTTAAATATAATTCGTGAATTAAAGATGGGCTAAATTTATTTCAGATTAATGCATCAAATGTATTATTAAGGATACACAATAAAATCAAGGAAAAAGTTTTATTTTCTTTTTTATAAAATAGTTATTTATTTTATATAGAATGATTATATAAAATAGGAACCTGCAAAGATCAAAATCTTAGGCCCAGCCCTGATTTGAAAATATTTTATTTTCAAGCCTTTCCACATATTTGCATTTTACACTGAGTATCTTAGTTAAGTTCATTTTTTTCCTTGGCCCATATTTTTGATCATTTTATTTACAACTTGGCTTAGGATTTTTAAGATTTAGTTATTTTAAATAATTATGGCTATATTTGGCAAATTATTTTTTAAAGGAAAAATATCAACACTAAGATAAATATTATCCACTTCATATATGTGTTTCAAAAGATAAATTGATAAAATTAAAATTTTTGTAAATTGGTCTAAACAGAGTTTTATAAAAAAAAGGAGATATTTATCAAAAAAAATAAAACAAGTTAGGCTTTACATGTGTTCTGCATATATCTGACATAAATTATAATAAAATAATCAAGAACAACAGTAAAAAAATTCATCTTTTTACCAATATTATATGTTATTATTCTTATATTATATATAAAAAAGACCTTTAGTAGCAGCCCAGAATGAGTTAAAAATGATGATCAAAAATAAAAATCAGGGCTCTGCCAAAAAAATATCATAAACCGTGCAAACTAGGCTTTAAAATAAAGAATATTGAAAATCCTAGCCAGACTTGAAAATATATTTTTTTAAATCATAACTGGGCTTAGGTCTTTGGCATAGAAAATCTCCCTTACATTTTTAGATTAGAAACAAATATCCTCCCCCACCCCTTTTAAAATGAAATAAACACCTTTTAAAAGATTAATTATATTAGAATTTCTTAAAAGTTGTCATTGTGGGTAAAAATTTCCTTTGTTTAGAACTAGTTTATCTAAACAAAGCAGATTAGTGCTTAGAGATGTGAAATTTATTTCAAGAATTTGTTTAAATAGTAATATAATTTAACTATAATATAAAACGATGACAAATAGCATAGTTATAACTTATCAAACTAAAACCAAATACATAAGGTATACTGAATCACTACATTTATTATACGATTAATTTTTTAAATAATATATTAATTTAAATTATGCTTACTTTCTCTGGCCTTAAGATATACAGTATTTGCTACTATATTTTCTAGCTCCATAGCCCCAAAATTTGAAAAACCCAGATGTAAATAGCTTGATAACAGTCCTCTAAAATTACAGGAATATTTTCATAATATTTTATTATGATCGAATAGTTATTAGTTAATTTAATTTGGTTCGTACTTTTCTATCACGGGGAGGTTTAGGTCAAACATAAGATATACATTGGAATTTAAGGGGAGAGGAGGGAATTATGAAGGCTATTTATCATTAGATTAAAATAGAGAAGGGGTAAACAAATGAAACAAGGTTGGGGTAAGCTATCTATAATTTTTTTAAGCAGAAGGTGATAATGTGTAGTATCAGGCTTAGTATAATGTAGATGATCCTTATTTAAATGCTGATAAACATAAATAAAATACCTAGTATATCTTATCTTATCTGATATATAAATGTTTATTATAAACTATGGAATATATTTTAATTTTATCAACATATCCTGAATTGTATTAGTATATTGTTATTAGGTTATGAACATACAACAGGTGGAAGAGAAAAAAGACATATTTAAAGTATTTTGTGTTCAATAATGTTTAAGCATTTGATGACAAATTATCTAGAATAAAAACAAATTGTTAAATAATAGCTTTACGTTTCAAATTTTAACAACTTATTTTTTTTAATAAGAACAAATTTTTTCTAACCATAAGTACATCATAAATATTTACTCAAAAATTTAATAATAAAAGATTATTATTTAAATCTTACGTGCTCAGAAGAGAGCTAAGTTACAATTCATAAACTTTTATTAGATTTTATAAGTTTACACGTGCCCATTATAGTAGTTTATGATTTAAGAAAACTATTAAGGCATGTTATAGCACTTTTAATTTTAAAAGGTGTATTTTCAGCTTCTTAAAATTAAAATGTATAGAATACCGCGGAATGTGTTAAGCCTCTAGGATAAAATGTTTCTTCATGGGGCTGGCAGGAAATTATTGCTAGCTACCTCCAAATTATTTCTCTCAACTTTCTTAAGTTAATGTGTCCATGAGATTGGTTTCGAAAATAAATATGTTACTGGCATAACAGTCCGATTTAGGTCGATTTTTAAAAAGGTTCGATTAAGATTTAGCCATAATAATACTATGTAAGCCTGGAGAATTTGCTCATAGATGGCAGATAATTTGGAACTATATTTTTCAAATCTAGAGGCCTACCTAATATTATTTTGGCTAAAATCTTTTTCCGGCCATTTTATAAAAATCGGCTCATTAATTCTAAAATTTCCTCCTGAGATACCTATATTAAAGTAAAATTGAATATTGTTCTAAAAATTAAATATCCTAATTAGCTTAAGGTCATTATATTTTTAATGTTTGATTTTAACTTTTTTTTAAAAAAAATTGCTAATTAGCTCTTGGTAATGGAGCATTTAGATTTGTAATCACATATCTCTTTTTATATTATATAAAATTATTATGGTTATATTTCAAAAATATGACAAAATTTAATAAGCTCGCTAGTGATTCACTTTGATTTACAGTTCATACATTTTTATAGCCTAATTAAATTTTAAACAATATATTGTATAATACTTCTAGATTTTAATATAAAGTGTAGGGTCATTGATAATTTTGGGTTTGCATTATCGTATCAATTATTTTAATGTAATACTGACAAAAAAATTATGACTAAAATAATATAAACTTCTCATAAAAAAATTAAAATTCTAACACCAAAATTTTATTTCTAACAGTTAATTATTACAGAAGATTTTTTTGTCTATAGATGCATAATACTAGAGCTATTTCAGGAAAATATTGTAACATAGTTTATATAATTCTAAAAGGAGATTGAGTGATTCGGCACACCTAAGGAATTACCTAGAAACAGTATGCCCTATTATTATCTAATATAATTAAAGACCTACAATAAGCCAATAAAAAATAACAGCTGAAAGAAAATGAAATGGCATAACTAACCATATATATGTAAAAATGTATAAATATTAGATCTAAACATCAAAAATGATTAAAATGAAGTAACGAATAAAGTAAAAAATAACGTGTTATCGAATTTGTAACACGTTATTATCAGCCCTAGAGATCTGCAGAGTCTGGTCTGTTAAATTTTTTACCCTTATTTTTTAACTGGCCCGGCCTGCCCGCTAAAATTTTTAAAAATTTAGGCCCTGCCATTAAGATTTTTTGATAAGTCCGCTCCATCCCGTTAATTTTTTTTAAACGAATTCCGACCATCACATTTTAAATATCTCTATGTAATTTTTCTCCATAAATCAAGGCGCCTATATCTATCTTCTATGGCTATGTATTTCTACCATTTTATAAACCGGTTGCATTTGATGACTGTACCTCTAATTTTAATTAAATCATATCATAAATAAATTTTGCATTATTTGTGAATTTACTATATCATTTACAGATTTAATATTTATAGTTTTAAAGTACCTATTAAAATTTAACCAAAAGTCACTATCAGTAAAAATTTACCAGTATGTTAAACTTTTGTCTGGCCCGTTATATATTTTTAAGAAAAATTCCTGGCCTGTCCCGCGGACCAGGCATTAGAGATTTCTTATTATCACCAACTTAAACCAATATTTTTGGATTGACAATTATTAAATGAGGCTTGGACGTTATTAAGCGAAAAAAATAAAATAGACCCGCCCCCCCTTCATATCACATAGTTATTAATGATGAAATTTTTTTAGTGATAAACTAAAAATCTGATTAGGAGAGTCGGAGAAGGGGGGTGATTATAAAATAAAATCTTATCTTAAAAAAAAATTTAATGCAACGTTTTAATTTATTTGATTAAGATGCATTATGTTTATTTATTTTAACAATAAAATAATTCATTTCGTTACCAAAATAGTGATAAAAGAGCTGTGATTTATCTTGAATAGAAATAGTATTTGCAACGGTCCAAACACATCCGATCGTTTTTCTAAAATGGGACAGAACCGCTGGACCGTCAGGTGGATAAGACCAGACCGTAGAACCGAAGGTCCAGTCCGGCTCCATTTAAAATTTATGGTATAAAAGTTTTATTTAATGAGCTTTTGATATATTAACATGTGAAAGATATTAAGTTATAAAATAAAGTTGATTTATATAAATATTTTAATAATATTCTAAAAAAATCAAATAAATTCCATTTTTTATCTAAGATTCAAATTTCATCAAAGATTGAGCCATCTTTGGATTCATTCTATTCCATTTTTTTGATATTTTATCACTAGCTTCAGATAAGATTAGTTCACGTGTAGCCTGTTGTGGGAGATATCCTATTGCTATTTTGGCCAGAAGTGGAATTCGATATTGATTCCCTTACTACTAATCTAATATGATGGAATTAATCGGATATAAAATATTGGTTATATAGCTTTGAATCATTTATATCATTTTCCTCAGATTCCTTTGATGTCGTAGTAACCGTGAGCCTATCTCAGGCTCTTCTCTCCCTCAAGGATATTTCCTTAGATCAATATATTGATTAATAAAATAAATAAATATTTATATATATATTGTTTCTTTAGGCAAAAGAATAGAAAAATCGAACAAAGAATGAGATATTATTAAATGTTAGACCTTAAAATAATCATGCTTAACGTGTTCATGTACATTAATCAAAAAGTAATCCTTTGTATTTTATCTTTTTTAGTCGGTCTTCGGTCGGACCACCATTGGACCGTGCTGTCAGACCTGACTGTCTCGTCAAATTCAATAGTCAGGTGAGGCCAAACCACAGCAAACACTAAATAAAAGCTTAGATTTTCAATTTTTAGTGGATCATACTCGCAAAGACTGTTTAAAGAGCTTGAATAATTTGTAACAGATATTGGAACTTAATACCCTATCATTAGGAACATACCCGCTTACATTACTTTACCTGGGAAATTCGTCATGTCATCGTTTAAGAATTCTGAAATGTAATCTAATGATATTAAAGAGAATAAAATAATTTTCTGCGGCAATTTTTTCCTTAATTACATTCTAAATATTCATTTAGATTTATATAATAAAAGACAATTTTATTCACAAATGTTCTAATATATGATTATATTCGGGATTATAAATCAACATAACATTCATTAGTTTTTTCATATCCTTTTCTATTCCCGGAGTTTTCCCTATTTTTCTGACATATAATAGATACCTGTAGAACATTTGTAATGTTTCTCTATTCGTATCTATAATATCGTTAGCTTGCATCGAGTTCATATTTTTCAATTTCGATATCTTGAGTAAAAATAAAATGAATTAAAATACACAAGTAAAAATTAATTTCAAAATATGAAAATTAAGCAATTCAAAAACAAAAAAACTTGGTAACGCGACATATCTATTAGTAGATCGAAATTGAATTCAGATTTGTCGTTGAAGAATGTGTATTTATCTTTACAGCAAAGAGAGGAAGAGATGGTAAGGTTTGGAAGATTTTTCTCATTCGATACCTGTTTTGTGTACAACAATTTTTTTTTAAAAAATGTCAAAATTGTAGATCTTATAATATATTTCTTTCATTAATAATAAAAATAATAGCTTTCATATATGAGAATTATAAGAATATACCAAAAAATTAAAATCGCATCTATTTATTATATATTTTTTTAAATAAAATAAGAAAAATACAATATAATGGATAAAAAAAAGAGACAAAAATAACACTACCCCCTAAAACCAGAGTAGTGGGGGATAGTATATACCATCTACGCAGCTTACTAAATATATAGGTCATGCCAAGAACTAAATAAAAAAATGACTACTCCTTCCTCCTTATAATAAAAATAATTCAGTAATATGAAAATTAATCCAATTATTTAGTAAACGGTTTAAAAAAATGCTGTCGAAATTACGGAGGAAATCTCTCGGCTAATGTTTGCATGGTACATTCGTAATCCCTGTTCGGTTTTACTTGCTAATTTGGTCAACAATTATTCCAAATATCAAAGACTCGCCCAGGGTTTCGAACCGTTAAGCATAACGGTTCGGTTTGTTCCGGTTTTTAGTTTAAATTTTATAAAGGTTTTGTTCTATTTTGGTTTTTTTAAAAAAATTCATATCGGTTCGGTTTATAATTTAAACGGTTCTTTTCGGTTTGTTCCGGTTTTTATAAATTTGATTAAAAAAAAAATTAATCATTAACCATGTGTATATTAATTTTAGAGAAAAATCTTTTTAATTTATAATTTCTTATTTAATTTAACCATGATAATCTAATAGATATTTTTATTAAACTTAGTAAATATAAATTAAAATTAGACAAATTAATTTTTTTTATTTCATAAATAAATAAGATAAAAACAAACATGCCTCTAAATACAATGATGAATAAAATAACGCATAAATATTATTTGTTTAAAAAGAGAATTAGAACGGATAACTAAAATATTTTCTAATATTTCAGATTTAATTTAGTTCTCTGCGCAGAGAGGCTAGAAAATCCTCTTTCTACGGATACCTTTCTTTACATTTTCCCAATAATTCAAGATTAGTATCTTTTTCTAATCTCTCTATATTATCAAATGACCGAATTATATATTCTATTTCAATTTTCTATGCCCTGAGAATTATTCTTATTAAGACTTTCATGCGACTTTAATAAATCTTCAAAATCATTATCTAAATTATTTTTCGAATGCGAACTCGTAGGCATAGTATTTAGAATTTGAATATTCTGATTATTTAGACTTTGTATCAAGTTCCAAGTTTTACAAAGATGTTTTCTGGCGATCTCTCTTTCTTCAAATGTTAAAAATATTATTTTAATAATATATAATGACAAATGAATATTTGAATTCAGAATTTAAAAAAACAATATGATTATAAATAAAAAATTATTATATCATTAAAATATTGCTGACCATTTTATTTATTGTCATTTAAATTCTATGATCCAAGTTTTTATGATGAGATAAAAAATAAACCATATAAAATAAAAATGAGTGTAAAAAGTACTTGATTTCTATTTGATGTTAGTTATTAATAGTAGAATAATTTAAATTTTTCCTAAATTATTAGCAAATATTATTATAAAAGCTTATTAATAACTTATATAAATAAATTTGTTAATTTAGCTAAGAATAATTATGTGTGATTTTAAGATATCTTATCTCATTAACAGATAATTTGCCTAATCTCTAATAAAATAAGTATTTAAAGAAAAAAACAATAAACTTGGTATTGCTTGATATATAATGTTGATAATATAAAATATTTAAATTGAAAAGAAATCACCAATTTAAAAAAAAGCCCCCGGAAAATTAAAATTTCAAATTAAGGTTAATAATTTTCATTAATTATTTTTTCAAACCGTTTTGAACCGGTTATAAAGGTTGGTTCGCTCTTTTTATATTTTCTTTATAACGGTTTGATGAGGTTACGGTTCAGAAAATCATAACGGTTCATTCCGGTTTGGCGGTTCGCTTCAAAACCCTGGACTCGCTATTGACAAAATCAAAATAAGTGAGAGAAAGAATGAATGTATATTTAGCAAGGCTTTTTCTTAAAAAAATCAGGGAACGTGTTAATAGATTTGTCTTTGATATGTGCAGATGTCGCTATACCATTTATATGAGCAGAAAATACGATTATACATTGTCATATGTTTAAATATATAGCATTCTTATGCAACTCATGATAGGGGATTTTCAAAAATTATAAAAACGACATTTAATTCCTTATTAAAATGGGAATTTTCATTTTTTGATTGAACCTACTAGATCTTTTCTTTTCCCTGCTTGATCGGGAAACCCTGTACTAGGTATACATTTAAAAAAACGTAAGGAAACACAAAAAACTCAGAAGAGCAGATATTTATTTATTAATTTTTGTTACTATAAAAATAAATAAACTATAAAAAATGATGAACATATAAAAAATGATGAACATATAAAAATTGATAAAATATATAACAAAAATAGGAGACAAACATAACACTCATCAATTTTTTTTATAAATCTCATTTCGCTGGTAACTCCAATGATATATTTATGCAGAATTCCAATACTCTGAATCATCTTATCAACCGAGAAAATATGATATACTAGTTATATTATGTAATCATTCCCCACCTGAATAAGGATTAAATTTTAATTTTAAGCGTAAATTATATTTGAAAGTAAATTGATTAATATATTTAAAAAAAATGATATTATAGTGATATTAAAAGGTATAAAAACATGCATTGGCATACAGAGGATTTGGGAAAGGAAATACGCGAATGGGATAAATAAGTTTAAAAATCTAAGCTCACATTTAATTTACTTTACTTAGTAAATGTGGATTGTTACAAACTAATATAAACAAGATGAAGATATAAAAGTTTAGAAAAAAATGCCTATAGAAAATTAACCGTTATAGGAGACTCAGATTGGCTTAAATTTCTTTCAAGTACGGTTGATTTATTTGGCTTGACACACAAAACGTAAAAATGTCTCAAGGCTTGCAAATGAAATCTAAAAAATTAAATATATGTTGATTTTTTATTTGTAATTTGATTAAATGAAAGACTACGATGAGTGAAAATTTACTTAATTTTTATACATAATATAAAAAGAAAATGTAGTAAAACCTATTGTCAGAAACATATGCCGGCCATTTGAAAGGATAAAAAGAAGCAATTAAAAGGCAAATCTCCGAATATTTCCTGGTTTCCTCCCCTTGGCTACTGCCATTACAGGCAGCAGAAGTAGGCTTATCGTTGCTCAAGGTGTATTTACAGTGGCCCATGAAGAGTAAAGAAATGCAGGTAGAAACACAATATTGATGTCCAAAGCTGGGAATATTGAGATAGTAGAGGTCTGGTTATTTTATTTTATATAGATAAAATTTAATTTTTTTAAAAAAATAAATAATAATTCATACTCCCATATAGATAAAATTACCCAAAATTTATTTATTTTATAATAAATAATCATTTTAACCCATATAGTTAAGTATAATAAAATATCGCGCATACCCTTTTATAAATTAACAAATTTAATTAAAATCGAGAAAGATAGTAAATTATCGAGAACTTTAAAGAAACTAACGAATGCAGGAAAACGATTATAAAAGGGAAAATTATTATTTTAACTAATTTATAAAAAAAGAAACGCGGGTTAAAGAATATGGAAACCTTTTTCTTCGTTAGTGAAGGTGCCACTTTCAGCTGTTTCGAGAAGCATAATTTTGTAATCGCAGTAATCAAAGCAGGATCTAAGGTAATTGAAGGTTTTCAAATCTCCGGAACCAGATTGAACCTGCGAATTTAAATTCAGTAAATATTTAAAAATAGATAGCACAGCTCACCGTATGCCCCAAACCGGGTCCATAAAAACCTTAAAGAATTTATATATTTATATTAAACCTGTAATAATAATATTAGTTCAAATTACTCAGCAAATAATATCAAATTACTCAGAAATAATAATATTTGTTCAAATTACTCAGCACCGTAGTCCAAATAATTTTTCAATATTCGTGGCTTTAAGAATAGTGTTATCGTAATGTACAAAAAAAAATGAACTTCTAATTTTATATTGTTAGTTAATTTAATTTGCAAGAAAAAATTATACATATCAAATAACAAAAAAAATTAATTATTTAAATATTTGTATAATATAAACCATAGCTAAGGATATTAACGATGTGTTTAGACATGTTTCCAAAGCAACGTAGGCAATTTTATCCTCGCTCACATTAAGCATTTGCTGATTCAAATTTCTCAAGCTCCTGTAGTTTTGAACATTCTTCGACAATCTTTCGACTTCTTTATACTTACAGTATTTATTTTATGTGTTAGCAAAAAAAGTAAAATTTATATAATAGGTTTGGATGAGAAAAAATAGAGGGCCAAAAATAAATTAATCGCAAAATAGCTATAACGCTGATTTTGAAAAGAATCTGTTACGAATTTTCCCGAATTAAAAAATAAGTGTTTTATAAATAATTTGTAAAGAATACCAAAATTTCTGTAGCATTAAGATCGTGAGTACCAGCGTATTTGAGTGCCAAAGCAAAAGATTTTCCGGCTCGAACAAAATTTTTGGTGTGTCTTGAAGAGAGGAAAAAGGAGAAAGAATATGTATAAAGGTTTATATACATGCATTTAATCTTTCTTTCTTCAACTCTTTCTCTTTCTTTCCATCTCGATAATAAGAAGAAAATGAAAGTAATTCGTGAAATTCTTCTTCATATTTCTTACAAAAGACGTCTTAGCTTAAAAATATTTGCTGCTAATTCTATATAACGTAAAATAATGATGAAAAAAAGAAGATCGTGAAAAGATTCTTTTAGAATATAATCTGAAAATTAAAAAATAGATTTTAATAACAACTTATTTTATTTTATGCTTGATGTAATATTTGATTCTTATTTTTTTGAAACACAATTTTTTTTATGGTTCGATTTCGCATTAAAAAAAATCTCTTTATTATAAAGATCTCAAAAAAAAAAATTACCCCTAACAAACGAAATAAAAAATCATGGAAAATTCTCATTTTTACCCAAAATTTTAGAACAGATATCTGTACAGTCCAGTCCAAAATTCTGGCCCTATGCAGATCTCTAACTTATATATAAATACTTTTAAATACAATAATTGCTGAGCGTCCTGAAAAGTAAATTCAGGATCTGCGCGTGATAACAAATTGAGGAGCATTTCTTCGTCAATTTCATGGATGAACAAATCGCGGAGTTTGTTAGACAATTTGAGCTTAAAATCAGAAATTAATTTTTTAAAATAATTATTTAAAAAAATATTTAATATTAAAGGAAGAAAACGCGCTTATTTTATTTTTTACATCCAACTGTGAGGGATTAAAGATGTTCCACCATTCTTCATCAGCTTGTATTTGATCGAAATAGATTAACCAGCATGTTATCATCTTTATCATGTAAAAATCGGGTCTAATCTTCAGGCATTCTTTGATAGTGACAGGGATGCAAAGGTATTTTACAATCGAGCTTTTGTTAAAGGTTTATAAAATAGGGAGTTAAAAATTTCTGTTTTGGAAAATTTTGAGAATTCCATTCCTTTTCAATTAGAATAATATTTTTGGAGGCAAAGAATTATTTATAATTTATATAAGAAAAAAACTTTTATAAGATGTGTTTGAGCAAATAATTCATTAGCAACAGTGGTAAAAATTTTATTAGAATTTAATTCTTATTATCTATGGGCTTATAATTTTCATTACGGAAAAGTACCAAAATTTAATTTTCAAATTAAATAATAATAAATAGTGTTTCCATCTCAATTTACAAAAAATCAATCTTTTGTGTTAAGCGAGTGTGATATTAAGAGTTTTAGATTAGGCTGTGGCCAAAACATCAAAAAATTAATTTAACCAAACTTTAATGAAATAAATAAATAAGCTATTTTAAATATAAAAATAAAAACATGTTCAAAACATAATTCTAAAAATTTTACATAATTAAAATTTGTGAATTTTTTTAAAATGGTTCTGGACATAGCCTTATTTATAAAAATAAAAGGCATTCTAATACATTTTTTTTTAAAATTGCATTCAAACTTAATAAATTCAATTATAAATATATTAAGAATAAAGAGCACATACCATGCCAAATTAGATGTAATGTAAAATTTGGTTTGATTTTTTAATGTTGTTTAAAATAATTCATAATTCAATTTCTCAAAAAAATGAAGACATATTTCTAAAGTAATGCTAAAATATATTCAATTAATATTTTTACATATTGTTAGATCTGAAATATATAAGAGCTAAGGCCAGTGCAGCTGATGGGAAAGTTAAATTGATATCGGAACGACTCATCTTATAGTTGATCTATTATATGTTAATTAAATTTTTTAAGGATAAAGGGATAATTATTTGATCTATTCTCCAGGGCCGTAACTAGAATTCTTTGCTTTGGAAGTGGTGGGGGGGCATGGGGACCATACTTTTTAAAACTGCATATTTCGATCATATTCTTTCTATTATCTTTTTCTCGTGTGCTAATAAATAATGCCAGAATTGTAATGTTTAAAATTAGATTAACAAATAAGCAGCTTTGACTATTTAGGGGCAATTTATGCAATATTATTATAAAAAAATATATTTGCAAAAAAATGAATGAATTGGGTTGTTTATATTTAAAATTGCATTTTCACTTAAAAGATCAAAAAATAAATTTGGGGGGAGGGGGCTAGTCTCCTAATGGCCCTTACCGTAGTTACGGCTCTGTATTTCTCATATAGCTTTGACTATAATCCTTTTCGTTTATAAATCAAATTTTGATTTATTCTCAAACTTTCTTTTTTTTTGCTTATGGTTGCGAAAAAAATTCTTTTTTTTAAATATTTGAGAAATTTTGCTAATATTATATTTGTATGACTGAGAAAAAAATAATGTAAAAAAAATTAAAAAGAAATATCGATTTTGTTTTTTTCTCTAAAAAAAGCCCGTATTTTTTTCTATCAACTTTATACAAATAACAATTATTTATTTTAACCCCCCCCCCTTCCCCAGCTAGAAATAGAATTTATATATCGATGGCTAACTTATATTTTCCAATAAAATATTAATCATCGAACCTTATCTAAGGGGCGATAGCACCCGCACAGAACGTAGTTCAAAAGGATAGATTGCAATTTTGATAAAGTTGTAGATGGCGTGTCTCCTTCAATACGCGCTCTCTAAATTAAATCATCATTTAAAAAAATAAATAATTACTAATAATTAAAGGTAATTAATTTTTTTAAAATTCATATAAAAAATAGCATAATATATAGATATCGATTATACATTGAAATTTATGATGCCCAAGGCTAGAGCGGCCGCTATAGAATACGAAGGTTTTGAGGAATGATTTTTGCAACTATTATCGATAGAATAACCACCTTTCATTTTGTATTATAAATAAGTAGACAATATGTTAGGTTATCTTTAAAATAATATAAAAATATTTGACCACATAATCATTATTATAATTCCATTTTTGTAATTAGTAACTATAATTAGTAATTACAATTATAATTTTAATATCTCTTTCATTCATATTTTATATTTTCTGGCGGCAATATAATGTGTGATTCAATCTTTTTCACTCGAAGATAAATCTATATTGTCAATCAGTCCAAAAAGTAGAAGATAAATCTAAATTATCAATCAGTTTTTTTTCAAATAAGAAATAAAAAAAGAATAAAACAATCTATCAAAATCATAAAAAACCATAATAAAACCACTTGTTTTTGAAAATATTAATTATTTGTTCCTAATTAGTGTTGTTAATGGTCAATTTTATCCGATTTTTAAGAATGGCGAACCCAATATTTTAGCCATAAAAATATTGTCTAAGTCTCTAGAATTCACTAATAAATGTCCAAACCTTTGTGCTGTACTATTTTTCATCAAACCAAACCATTTAACAACACTACTTACACATATATTTGCTGTTTGTTTATTACATTAACCTGTTTTGCTTATTTTTGTAGTGGACATATAATATTTTGATAAATTTTTTAAAGTGAATGATATATATACTTTTTTTTAAAAAAAAGGTTGGTTTTATAAGTAAGAATATAAAAAAGCAAAGGATAAAATAATCATTAAAGGATATAAGAATATAAAGCTGTAAAGTAAAAACTAAAATGAGATATATAGATAAAAATATAAGCTAAGAAATATAAGGATCCCAACAAAATCGTGCCGTGACTTTTGAAAGAACTAGAACAAGAATTAAAAAAGGCCATAACGCTGTATATAATTTAAAAAATATATAAAGTTTCTAGAAGGCGTCTAAAGGAATAAAAAGGTAAGAAATAACATTTAAAAATATTAATTCATTATATGTACATTTGTAAGATTAAATAATTATATTCCTAATTATTATAGCTTCACAAATCACGACAATTCTTATTTCACAATCATTAAAATCCAATTTATATGTTAGCGAAATCTTAGTTATTACTAGCCCTTAAGAAAATTTTGCATTTGTAGTGTATGATCATACCTATGGATCTATAATCAGGCCACTATTTACCTTTGAGTGGTTTATTAATGTTAAGAGAGCTTAATTAAAAAAGTAAATTTAGTTGTTTTATCAAATTGTTTAAAGGACAGCGCAAGTGCATTTAATTTATTTCAAGCAAAATTCATCTTATCTTTAGAGAAAGATTTGGCAAAGTACCCAAATCATTATTTTTTCTGATGGGGTAATTACCCAATACAAAAATAAAATGTTTATTAACATCTACAATCAAGAAAATAATTTTGGGATAAAAGCAGAGTGACATTTATTTGCAACCGCACCTGGTAAAAGTCTCTGAGACGCGCTACTAAAGGGTTAGCAACTGGAGCAAGCTAGCAACGTTAATATGATCATATATTGACAACGGAGATTTAAATAACTATACAAGAAATAATATCAGAGGGATAAATTATACATTTGCGAGCAATCATGAATATATAAGTATGAAAAATCATCTTGAAAACAGGTTTTTAACAAAACAAATTTCTGGACAAAATTTTTATACTATTATTCCCCTAGGAAAAAATAACATGAAAGTCATAAATTTTTCAAATTCTTCAGTTAATTTAATATTTAATGTAATGTAATTAAAAATTTTCATATATTATAAATGTCTGATTGTATTACATGTAATTATAGAAATTATTTAGCCAAATAAAGTTATAATTATGTTTAGAATTATTTTGCCACGAAATTTCAAGAAAAAATTAACAGTGTTAAATAAACCATATTTTACCCCCCCCCCTCCCCCATCCACCTCTCAAATATATTTATTTTATGAAATTCGCCATATATAAACGAGAAAATATAGGCAAATTATTTTAAATAGATAACTGGGTTGTATCCTCGTTGGAAATAGGGACCGATGATGGAACAAAATTAGGTGTGGGGAGATAAATATTTCACTTAAAACATTGATTTGACTATCTAAAGTATAATTATTCGGATGAAGTATTAAAAGAAAGAATGCATCCTATGTAATCTGGACTCCAATTCCAGCGATGAAATAACCCCTCAAATCTCGATAATAGAAGATGCGTTCAGAAGTCGATAACCAAAGAGGCAGAAATGGCCCTTCCGAATCTATCTGTAGGGAATTCGAAATTCCTCTTAGTTCGTTAAGGTCGATATTCAAAACGGATAAGGAGCACCATTTATATTCTATTTCAGAATGAGGGATAAAAAATACATTTAAAAAAAGGGAGGGAATAGGCTATATCAAAAAATTAAATTCACAAACTCAAAACTTTAATAAAAATAGCGAAAGTTTTAAAACTTTTCAATATTTTCAAAATGATTTTGGACAATATTCCTAAAATATTTTCTCCAAATCATAAAAGTCAAAAAAGGTGGCTTAAAAATGAAGCATAAAAATATAGTAAAGACCTATCTCCTTGGCAAGTATCAAGGAAACGTGGGTGTCACAGCTGAATGCCCTAACCATGCCTTGACCGTAAAGGGCCGCAGTTTGGACTTCTATACAATGAACCATTTCATCGGGTAAAGAGAAATCGGTAAAATTATTTCGATTTGAAGATTGTCCATCTCCATCTGACGTATCATTTTCTTGGGAATCCATTTGTATGTGGGATATGAGAAAAGCTTGACTGTGAAGGGCCAGAATTCTTTGAACACAAGATTTGTCTAGACGTTTGCTGTTGTTGGGAAGAAGGATAGCAGTGGAATCATCACTAGCAGAGTGATGATCTAAAAAAAATCGTAAAAAAATGTATATACACGATTTCGTTTTTTTAAAGAAAAACAATAATTTTTCATAATAACCTTCCCAATTTTCTCTATATATCCAATATCAAATTTAATGTATAATAGAATAGGCTACAACTTTACTAGACTAGTCTGTGAAGCTTCATTTTTTGTTACTTTAGCGAGAATCTCTCATAAGATATAATCTAGGAAAACAGATAATTGAAGTAATGCAATATTATAGAACCCTTCATAATATATATTTATTAAATTAGAATAATGTTTAGAATATTTTTCTTATTTTATCAAGTGGAACCATAATGCTAATCGAAAATATTTACCCCTGAAATGTGAAGTGTGCTCAATTTTTAAATTATTTTCACGAAGTAATATTTTATTAAGGAAAAGAAGGATATATGAATAAAAAAAAGAGATTAAGAGAATCGGAAGAAATTTTTTTACTTTAAAATATTGATTTTTAGTCATTTTCCTTTATTTAATTATTCTTTTTCTCTCGACTAATTTACTTCGGTTTTCTCTGTAAAGCGTTGCTGCAACCCCCAATAAGAGGGCCATCTTAGTTTTTCGGGATTCTGTAGGCTGAGTGCCATCATTGTCTCGAAAAGCGTTATTAGGTCCGGCCGAATTGTTATCATTAGATTGTTGTCTGGGTTTTGTCGTATCAGCTGATGCTGGTTCCTCTGGTACAATTTAGAAAAGAAATTAATATAATAAAATATATAAACAACTATATACTAATTTTAATGTCAAGAGTTTTCATCGAATATATCAATATATATATTTTCATTGTATCAGGATATTTCAAACATAAAAATGATATTAAAATCTCGTTAAAAAAATCAGAAAACCTGCAAAAGTCAAATTATTTATCCAGCCCCGATTTAACTTTCTTTTCACATTTTAAAGTTTGGCTAGGATTTTCTATTCTAGCCTAGTCATGTTTTTTATTTTTAGGCTCGAAAATTTTTATCATTTTAATATATAAAAGCGTGGTCTCCCAGAAGAAGGCCAAAAAACCCTGTGAGCTATTTCGGTGATTAACACTTCAGTAGTTAGTCTTTATTTAACAATATATATATATATATATATATATATATAACTTTTTGATGTATTTTTGGATAGAATTCTCTATTATATATATTATTAGAATAAGTCATAATTTTTATTTTATTATTATAAATTACATTTTTATTTATCCTCTATTAATAAAAAACAATTTGCCTTTTATATCTTTTTTTAACAATAAAAAAATAACCAATTATGTAAAATAAAAATACAAATTGATATCAAAAAAATGTAATGTTAAAAAGTTAATATAAAATAAAAATTATATCACCGAAAGGTATAACAAACAAAATCAGATTATTTAACATTCCACCCTCCAAAGAAATCCGGCTTATATTTTCCTTGATCTGTTGTGTGGTAACGCCTTTGACGTTCATGATCGCCACGCAATACACCACCCATGTTCATGGCGCCGTCTTCTTTTCAAATCGAACGATGGCTTGGTAAAGTAAAGGCAACCCTTAGCTAACTTCCCAATAGGATCGCTTGTGCATGGCATCGGGCATTTAGATTTCTCTAGAGCAAGGTTTATGTTGTCCTTCAGCCAGCCGTCAAATTCACGAGTCATCGCATCAACCCTGGCATATGGAACTCTCCTTGAAGGTATGATCTTAGTCACGGCATCGAGCTTCAAGTGAATTTACTCTCGTCTGACCATTTTGGGTTTGTAGGAGTAAGTTGATTCGAGGTCTTTTTTTGTTGCCGAGATTACCTTCTCGAGATCATTCTCAACATTACCCACTAAGAACTTATTAATGTTGTTGAAGGCATGGAGCCACATACGCCCTAGCAGGGGGATCTTATCACAATCCACCACTATGGTATCCAGCGTTTGTGAGTTACCTTCAAACTTAAGGTTCACATTAACCAGTCCTAATACCTTGATGGGGCTGTCGTCATACCCTGTCATTTTCATATCAGTCTTACGCATCGTGTTTATGCCTACAGTCTTAGCTGTATGCTTCAGAAGTATTGTGTACCTTATACCGGTGTCTACTTGCATCAGCGTGGGTATGTTGTTGATGCACACCGTTACGTTGTACGCGTCATATTTGATATTGTTGACCCCCAGATTGTGTACTTCAAGATTCTTTAAGGTCTGTGTTTAAGTCGTCGCAGTAGTTATCGCTGCGATTGTCGAAACGGTTGCGATTATCGTGACAATTATAGTAGCTTTGATCAAAACGATTGTCGTGGAAGTAGTCGTGACGTCCGTCGAATCGTTTGTCGCGACCGTTGTCCTAGCGTATCTTGTAACGTTCATCAAATCGTTTGTCGCGGCAATAGTCGCAGCGTACATTGAAATGTTGTCCGTGGCGATTGTCATTGATGAGCTGGGGTTGATAAGAGATTTACCATGTGCGTGAGTCCTGGGGTTTTATGGTTACGTGGCTATTTTTGACTCTGCCCATTGATTAATTTCTCCAGGTGATTCATTCAAATGAATGGCTTCAACTTTCATCACACCCTTGATGTCACTTGGCTCCGTGGTGTCTTCCTCTAGACCTAGATTGTAAATATCTTCTATAGTCATAGAGCTCCTGACCGCTTTCCTGACATCTTTGGAATTCGAAGCAACTCTCACTTTCTCAATAATGCGCTGAATGCCATTAAATTTGCATTCTTTATTGAGTCTTCTAAAAGAGATCATTAAATTAATAAAAATCATTGGCATATTGATAATATGAATAATTATTCGGAAAGTTTAAAAAAATTCTTCTTAATTAAAGATAATTTCTTTCGAAGAAGGGCTATTATTTTATAATGATAGAATCATTATTCCTGATAACCTAAAAAAAGGGTTTTGAATGTTATCCATCAAGGACATCCTGGGATAGTGGGGATGAAATCTTTAAGCAGATACTGTCTTTTGGACGAATCTTGATCGTGATGTTGAAGAATTCGTCAAAAGCTGCAAGAGTTGTCAGGAAGGAAGGCCGGGAGCCAGAGAAGTGCCGTTATATAATTGGAACATTCCTACCCGACCTTGGGAACGAGTACAATGCCCCCATGTCTGAAATATTGGTAATTTGCGTAGACGCTTTCACCAAATGATTTGAAGTTGCAACTTTAACACATTAATTCGACGAGTATAATAAATAATCTGCGTAATTATTTCGCTAGATTTGGTTTACCTCGTTACATTGTCTCAGATAACGGTACTCAGTTTGCTGAATCTGAATTCAAGACGTTTCTTTTTAAAAATAATATAAAATTTTTTAGAGCGGCCCCTTATAGCCACAAATCGAATGGTTTGGTTGAGCGTTATATACGTACGATAAAGACGCGTTTCTATGCTGGAAGGAGAAGAGGGACTCCAGACCAGTTAAATTTAGCGAATGTTTTAATTACACACCGAAATACTCCAAATGCAACTACCGGTAAATCCCCTGCCGAAATGATGTTTGGAAGGCCGCTCAGGACGACGTTAGATCAATGGAAATTATCTACGAGAGAAAGGACCGAAAACACGTTATGGAAACAAAAAAATTATAATGATAGGAATGTTGAGCCCCGTGATTTGAAGAGAAGCAAAAGGTTTGGATAAAAAACGAAAGGACTGCGGGATGGCATGAAGGGACAGTGGTTAAACGGAAAAGTGTGATATTGTATGATGTTGAGTCTGAGGGTATTGTAAAAAACAAACATGCAGACCAACTGAGGAAACTCATATACAAGCTAAGGAAACACCCAAAACAATGACTGAGGATTTGGATATTAATACAACTCTAGAAAAAATAGTTTCGAAACCCCCCATTACGTTATTATGATGAATTCAATTTATAGTGGGGAGAACTGTAATGTACGGCATTTCCCTGGCTCCCGGTCTTACTTCCTGATAACTCTTGCAGCTTTTGACGAATTTTTCAACATCACGATCAAGATTCGTCCAAAAGACATATCTGCATAAAGATTTCATCCACACTATCCCAGGATGTCCTTGATGGATAACATTCAAAACCACTAATTTTAGGTTAACAGGAATAAGATTCTATCATTATAAAATAATAGCCCTTCTTCGTAAGAAATATTATCTTTAATTAAGATGAATTTTTTTAAACTTTCCGAATAATTATTTATATTATCAATATGCCAATGATTTTTTATTAATTTAATGATCTCTTTTAGATTTATATCATTGATCGGTTCACTTATAACTTTACTTCGAAATCTTCTATTAAATTGATCTTTACTTCTCTAATTTCATTTTCAAATTTTTTTTAACTTCATTAATTTTTTCTCTCTACCCTAAGACTCAACATCATACAATATCGCACTTTTCCGTTGAACCACTGTCCCTTCATGCCATCCCGCAGTCCTTTCATTTTTTACACAAACCTTTTGCTTCTCTTCAAATTCACGGTAATCAACGTTCCTTTCATTGTAATATTTTTGTTTCCAGAACGCGCTTTCGGTTCTTTCTCTCGTAGATAATTTCCATTGATCTAACGTCGTCCTGAGCGGCTTTCCAAGCATCATTTCGGCAGGGGATTTACCGGTAGTTGCATTTGGAGTATTTCGGTGTGTAATTAAAACATTCGCTAATTTTAACTGGTCCGGAGTCTCACTTCTCCTTCCAGCATAGAAACGCGTCTTTATCGTACGTATATAACGCTCAGCCAAACCATTCGATTTGGGGCTATAAGGGGCCGATCTAAAATGTTTTATATTATCGAAGGTCGCTAGTTCGAGACTCGTCTTGGCCACCATTATTCTTGGATATAATTCTCTATTATATATATTATTAGAATAAGTCATAATTTTCTTTTATTTTATTATTATAAATTACATCTTTATTTATCCTCTTTTAACCAAAAACAATTTTCAATTTATATCTTTTTTTAACAATAAAAAAATAACCAATTATGTAAAATAAAAATACAAATTGATTTCAAAAAAATGTAATGTTAATATGATATAAAAAAAGATAATATAAAATAAAAATTATATTACCGAAAGGTATAACAAACAAAATCAGATTATTTAACATTTATTTATGATCAAGGAATAATCATTATAATGTACAATTGCGGGGAATAAATGGTGGCTAGTTTATTCTTAACATAATGGGCGTCGTTGTAATACTACATATGTATATTGGAATTTTTTCTGGCGTCCATTCTTGCTTGGCTAGTACCCATAAATTTCCGACTTGAAAATTAACTAGTAAAATAATTATTAAATTAAAAGAGAGATCGGGGACCAACTGGTCCCTTATCGACGACATATATATGTAAATAATAAAATGTATGTAAATGTTAAAACTGATTAAACAAGCGAATATGATAATATATTAATAATGAATATGAAATACAAAGGTGGGCTTCCCGTGGCTATGGTTATACGTGTTATTAGGAGACTTATTATTATGTGGATGAAAGGGTCTGGAGGGGTGGCCCAGTGTTGTGTTAAGCGTGTCGTCTAAAATGGTGGGGTCAAATACCTGAGTCATTCTATCAATGTCATCCGTAGCCTGGTCTATTTCATTCGAAGATTTTAGCGGGAGAAAGATCTGAGCCAACGATCTCGCTTGAGATGGACTGGAATACTGATTAATCAATATTATTGAAGTAGCTGTGTGCCTAATCGTTTACGTTCCAGGTTCTGCTAGCGTTGTCTGACATGCTGCCGATTCGAAAATCTATTCCTTGCCAGCTGGTGGCTATCATTTTTTAAGAGAACAGGTGTTCACATCCAGTGAGAGCGATCCTCCTTTTTTTTATTACGATAAAGGCAAATTGGCTGTGGATGAACAGCGAGGGTATTTTGCTGTATCGACTTGACATACCATATCCCAGCACCGATGGCTAGTATTTTCTCTGATTGTATTGGGGTGTAATGAGGTGTGGGATGTTGAAGATGTGTTTTATTTCATCAAAGGTTATTGGGAATTCGGTGGTTGGCCCATCCGTTATACCGATAAATAAGTTTGCGGCGCCAATATGAATGATATTATTAACTGGAAATAAGGGTTTTATTAGGGCGATAATGATTACCACTACCTTCAAGTATGTTTGCAGATAGTCCATCGGGGGATCCTCGAAGGGGTGTATCATGCTTATATTTGCAGGGCTCGAAAACTCTGGATAGGCCAGTTATGGAGTATACTTCGCAGTGAATGTTTATAGAGGATAAACTGAAGAAATCGTAACCTGGCTTAATTTTCTTTGTCTATCGCTGCGGTCTTCGCTTTGAAATCTATGTTGATCAGCAAGTTCCGTTATAAAACCAAAGAATCTTCTGCTCTGATCAAGGATCATTGAATAGAAGGCTGACTTCAGGATCTTGGTGGTTTGTTTTGTTGATTGACCAATTTTGATTCCCATCCACCTGAAACGAGATCAATTAGTTCAGATTGATCACTTGACAAAATAAACCAGGTCACGGATAATATGGGTATGGAATATGACCTTGCCGTTTTTGACGATACGCTCAACACATTGGTGGACAAATCGTTTCGTATTCCAACTACCCCCCCCCCCCCCCACACATAAGAATATTAATATACCTTTACAGGTCCCACGTCATTACAGAGAAATTATTACAGAGAATGTATTTTACAGAGAAACTTTTATAGAGAAAACAAAAATAGAGAATGCATTTATAGAGAAAACAATTATAGAGAATGTCGTTTATAGAGAAAATTTTATAGAGAAAGTTTTATATAGAGAATGACGTTTATAGAGAATGACGTTTATAGAGAATGCACTTATAGAGAAAACAATTATAGAGAATGTCGTTTATAGAGAATAATTTTATAGAGAATAATTTTATAGAAAATAATTTACGAGATACAGAGAATGATTTTACAGAGAATGATTTTATAGAGAATTATTCTATAATGAATGTATTTTATAGAATTATTTTATAATGAATGTATTTTATAGAGAATTATTTTATAATGAATGTATTTTATAGAATTATTTTATAAAGAATATTATTTTATAGAGAATTATTTTATAAAGAATTTTATTTAAGAATATGATTATTTTATAAAAAATGTTATATATATTCATAGGAAAAAAAATTACAGTATTTGACATAATATTATATATTAGAATTACCTTATATAAAAGAATAATTGGGTAATTTTTGAATTATTTCAATCGGTATAGAAAATTATTTGTTTTTCTTTGCACAAGGCTTTTCGATTATTAGATGAATTAATGGTAGAACAAAATTTTTACATGATTTGTAAGGAAAATCATATAGTAAAAGAATATAAAAAATTTTTACAAATTTAAATTTATTATTTAATTTATTTAAATTAAGTAACTAGTTACTTTTGGCAGTTACTTTCTAAAAAATGTAGCCAGCTTCCGTTACGATTTTGTAAATGTAACTAGTTATAAATATTTTTTAGGTAAAAGGTAGCTAGTTAATGGTAACCACTTAATTTGACAAAACTAATGTAGAGATTTTCATTTATAAGCTTTTTTTATCTTCAGCAAAATTTATTTAGTTCTTACTTATATTATTATTCTTCCTAAAAATTTTCAATTATAGATGGGACACACCGATAATCCATTATTAAGTTAAAAGTTATTTGTCACTAAGATATAAACAAAATTTAACATGATTTGTAAGGAATTTTACGAAATTTATTTTTTAAGATAAGAATACAAAATAAAATATATAGTGTTGTTAAAAGTTACTTTGGCAATGTGACTTAAAGAATATGTTTAATACTATTTGTATATGAAGTTTTTATAAGATAAACACTGATAATATACTGAGCTTAGCAATATTCATTTCGAAATATCAAATAAATTTTTATTCATAAAAATCCAAATAAACATAGTATAAATAATATACCAATGTAAAAAATACAATTGTATGATTAAATTAAACATTTAAATTTAAATTATGGGATAAAGCCCTTAAATAATCCAGCATGGTTCTTGAATAAAAATCTTCAACAATTAGAAAAATCCTTTCGGATCTTTCGCGATATTCTTTCTTTGACAGCGGAGCCAATAGTCCTAAAGAATATTGTTCCAATTTATAACAATTCAGGCTATCTTGGTCTTTGAGAGCTAAAAATTAAAATGCTAAAATTTATAATATAATATAATTACTAACTCTTTATAAATTTCCAGATCGTTGAATGATGGGAACCTATATGAAACGAAAAACTTCGATGCCAGCCCTCTACTGAATTATTTGTATTCGGTTCACGAGATAGTGTCGATTCGTAGCAATTCCATAGAGAAATGCGAAATATTGGCGACTTCCTCTCCATCGCTATCATTTTTCCAATCCACGTCTCTTCAAAGTATTCTATCAAGGGGGAGAGAATATTCCTATTTTCTTGATAAAATTTAGAGGCAAATAATTCCTCGAATCCATGAATTACATCCTCAATTGGTACATATGCCAGTGACATTAACATTTTTATGTACATAGCAAAATTTGTTTCGGTTTTGTATGCATTGCAAATTAGCGGATTTTTTTGAACCGTGCGCCATATGCATTGAGACATATGAAACAGGCATCCGCGCAAAAGTAACTGGTTACTTAATTTATATACATATTTCAAAAAATATCATTAAATAATAAATTTAAATTTGTACTTTTACTATATGATTTAAATCTTAGCCAATGAATTTATATTAATATAAAAATATTCGATTTAACGTAATTTAATCGATCCAACTAGCCCTGAATCTACTATCCACTAAAAATAAATGTAACTAGTGGCTAGTTATATTAAAAAAAAGAAAACTATTAACTGTAACTTGTTATATTTTCCAATTAACTAATAACTTAACTAGTTGCATTACATTGACAAAGTAACTTTTAACAACACTATCTATTTTATTTTGTACTTATCTTTAAAAATAAATTTAGTTATATAACATTTTTTTATAAAATAATCATATCTTTAAGTAAAATTCTTTATAAAATAATTCTCTATAAAATACATTCTTTATAAAATAATTCTCTATAAAATTATTCTCTGTAAAATCATTCTCTATAAAATTATTCTCTATAAAATCATTTTCTGTAAAATCATTCTCCATAAAATTATTCTCTATAAAATCATTCTATATAAAATAATTCTCTGTAAAATCATTCTTTTATACGACATTCTCTATAATTGTTTTCTCTATAAAAAATTCTCTGTAAAATATTTTCTATAAAATAATTCTCTATAATCGACATTCCCTATAATTGTTTTCTCTGTAAAAGTTTCTCTATAATTGTTTTCTCTGTAATGGTTTCTCTGTAATGACGCGATACCATCTTTACATACCCTACCAAATTCACTTCTATAATCATGGGGCATTTTTTCATACGTTACTATGTTATAATATTGTCTTATTTAACCAGTTGATACTTTTTACATACATTATATTATTTACATATATATATATATATGTGTTTACAAGCCAGTTGATCGATCCCCCTTTTAATTCAAGAAATATTTTACATTATCAATAATAAAAAAACAAGCAAGTTGGTTTCATTACTAGTTAATTTTCAGGCTGTAAATACATTGTGTATTACGATCTCCATTCTTGAAAATTTCCATATCTATCTTAAAAATAAATTGTAAAATTATCCTCTTGGTTCAGAAAAATTTCCGACTTCTAGCCACCATTTATTCTCGGACATCGTATTGATTAATTCCTTGATTATGATTAAAAGTAATATGTATTAATGTTTAAAAAAAGAGAGAGGCTATAGAAGTGTTAATCACCATAATAGCTCCGGCATTCCTTGGCCTTCGCGCAGGAGGACCCTGTATTTATAAGAGTTCAAAATTTGGTCATTTTTAATGTGATTTTTCAATTTTCATTGTCAGCTTATGTTTGTAAAATTTTTATCAAGTCCAACCCTCCTGAATTTTCAAATCATAATATTTCACAGTTTGTTTCAAACTGGATACCTCGACAGCTCTATGAAAAAAATATAATTTAGTTTATATTGTCAGCTTATGTTTGTAAAATTTTTATCAAGTCCAACCCTCCTGAACTTTCAAATCATAATATTTCACAGTTTGTTTCAAACTGGATACCTCGACAGCTCTATGAAAAAAATATAATTTAGTTTATTTGTTACTATAACCGATTACCCCAGGGCGGGCCTTTATTTTGTTTATTATTATTCAAATAAAGTGTCTGAAAAATAATAAATATTTTAATAATTAATACGACACTTTGATTTATTAACCTGATTGCAAGTAATCCTTCATGGCGAACGGCGATAAATATGACATGTGACCTGATAAAAGTTTATTTTATAAAAAATAAATGTGCAGGAAAAAAATCCTTTCGATGATATAGTCAGTGGCATCACTAGGGTAATATTGGGGGCTAGAAGAAAATGCATATCTTTAAAGATATAAAATTTTTTAAAAAATATTGGTGTCTTAAAAAAATTAGACTTAGATTACTCGAAACCACAGCAAACTAAAAAGTCTGTGACGCCTGTGATTTTAATCCCCACTGTTGACTAATTCTCTAACCCCCATTTCTTTTCGTTTAATTGCAGATTTCCCTTTTAAAGATCAAAACATTTTAACCTAAAAGACCAAGTCCCAACAAAACTCCAGCATGAGTCACGCTCAATATTTTTCGCTTTTCCCATCTCTTGCGTTCCTCCTCTTCACGTTTTTTTCGTTTACTCCTACGTCTCCTACGTTGAGAGATGTTTTTTTAAATATGATTTTTAAAAAATTAGTACTCATTATCTCATCTCTAACCACACATTCTCAAAAAAAAAATTCATAAATATAATTGTCATGTGATACAATACCATATTATCGTTCTCCGATTCCCTTCCATATTCTTAGTAATATATTCTTTATTAAAAAATTTATTTAAAAAGCTGAGAAATATATGACAAATAGGTTGGGAGTATTGGGGTACCTATGCTGTGATGTAAAGACCCTAGATCATTTAGGCCCCATTTATGGTATCCACAAAAATAGCGCGATATGGCATCACCCTGCTTAAATTACAAAAAATAATGTAAAATAACACAACCATGCAATCGTTTACCTAAGAACATCGATTGCTTAGCCATCATCGCGGTTATTATGAGATCTTAGTTGCAAAAATGAAATAAAGGAGTGGAAAAAAACAAAAATTCAGTTCTCTGCAAACTTAGTGCTGGGCAAGTTTTCCCACCCCTAGCATCGGATGAATATTTAAAAACTTGATTATAAAAGTTTTCAACACCTAAATTAACCAAAAAAAGCCCTTAATTAATATAAATTAAAATTCTTTCAAAATTTATCTAAATTTTATAGGCTAGATATTGTACACTATTGTAAGTAGTCATTTGTCATTTTATTTATTATATATCACGTAATATTCTATATTTTTGGATATTTATAATAGGTCAGAGTAAGTCATGTGAATATATGAAGTCGTCAATCAAATTTATCCAATAGTATTTTTTTTAGAAATATCTATTCAATGGTATTTTTACAATCAATTTTATCCAATAGTATTCTTTATTCCAACCTCCATCTTACAAAATTTCACTCTCATTATTTGAGATTTTATTTAGACATACCTGTTATTTTAGGCGTAGATCATCAGATATCTAAGTATGAAAACTTTTATTTGTATATAATATTTTAATTTTAGAAAGTACACAATTTCGTATATTAATATCATAATACAATTTCTAATAGGTGTCCATTAATTCCAGAGTTAAGATCTTCCAAATCAAAGTATTCAATTTAATACTTAACATAACAATCATATAAAATATTTTTTTTAAAGCGATTAAAATTTATCCATATTTTTTATTTCACTACATTTGTTTATATTAAATTTAGGCTTCAATTCAGCTTTCAATTCAATCAAGTTTACAACAATATAGGAGATGTACTGTACATGCCTTGCTCATGGATGTTGAAAATTAAGATCCTAAAATTGCAAATTTGACAGATAAATTTCGGATGTTCTCAGAGTTCATGTATTTTATTTGTAAATATTATTTTTTTTATATGGTATGTAAAATGCAAATATATCCTTCACAGTTAATCTAATTAAATCTGTATGCAATTCCAATATATATATTCCATCCATTTTTTTTACATCTTACTTCTATTTATAATTAAAGGATAAAAACGTAAATAAAATAAAATAAGGCAATAAGTTAATGATTTGAAGCAAACATTTCACGGTAATGGGCTAAAGTTAGGGCTGTGCCGATCCTTATATTTTTCACCGATCCGATCCGATATTGATTTAAAACCGATCCGATACCAATCTGATATTTATTTTGATTTTTAACCACCCATCTTTGAACCAAATGTAATTAAGAAATCATATGCAAAAGAATTATGCATTTAATTTTTTTTATTTCAACCATAATTTAAAAAAAATTATATTATAATAGATAAAATAAATATAATAATATATTCGATTTTTTAAAATACTTTTATTTTCAGTATTCCTAATTAGAATTCCGCAGATAACTCATTTTGCAAAATTATCTTTGTCTTTTTTAATATATTTCCATAATTCAGAAACAATATTTAAAATAATTTTTTTATTTAAAGTATAAATAATAAAATTGGTGTTATTTTTTAAAAAAATTTAAAATAAATAAAACTTTGGGTGTTGTGTTCCTTTCTATTTTTATAAAAAACTTTTAAAATCTATTTAAAAAATAAATAACATTTGCATTGTTTAAAAAAAAATTATTTAGAAAATATTATTAATGTAAAATAGTAACTCACTGAAACTCGAAAAAATTTATTATTTTTTTAAAAAATTTTTTTTAAATATTTAAATTTTTTTTTTATTAAAACAATAATAAATATGATGTAATATTAATTCAAAGTTGTATTATTCAAAAGTTTTAAGAATTGCATTTTTAGTAAAAAGATCGGATCGAATCGGTTTTTACACGCATCGGTCCGATCTGATATTTTTGGGAAAACGCTAAATATCGGTACCGATCCGATCCGATATTTAATATCGGCATAGCCGTAGCTAAAATTTAGAATTGGCGTGGGATAATTACCAAAATTAATAAAATTATTTTTAAAAAAATATATTTTATTCCGCAAGATAGCGTATTTATAGTAATATTATATATCAATTTTTAATCTTTTTCAACGTAATATTTAATATAATATCAAGAAAATAGAAAAATCACTCAAAAAAGATAAAGTCTCAATCATAAAGGTTCAATCAAAAAAGAAAAAGTTCTATTTAAAAAATGATGTGTTAAACAAAAAAGAAAAGTTCGATCAAATATGGAACAGTGTTAATTGAAAAAGGATATATGTGTGATTTGAATATGTCCGATTAAAAAGGATGTGTCAATCAAAAAAGAAAAGCTCGATCAAATATGAAAGAATGTTAATAGAAAAAGGAAAATGACCTATTAAAAAAGGAAAAGTTCCAAGAGAAAAGGAAGGTTCAATTAAATAAAAATAATATTCCTATTCAAATAAGGAAAATCATTATTTTTTTTTGTATATTTAAATGATAATTTTTTGTTGTCAGTTTAATAATCCTGAAATATAATTCTTTTTAAAATTTCATTCTTATCTTATTCTACCCTTTTGCCATTTTTTGAAGTCCATTATAATCTATTTTTGTCATCTAGCCCGAAGAAAGACGGGGAATCAGATATTTTCTTTTTATTTTATGATGAATAAATCAGAAATTAAGTCTATCTTATGAGGTGTAAATCAGAAATTTACATATAGCTTGAAGAGCATTGATTCCGAAATTTTTATAAAGTATATTAATGAATTAAATATTTAGTACCTTCATGTACAAATAATTGGAAGATATGTGTGAATGTAGCTTTTTCATTATATCAATTTCATAGGGTATGAAAAAATTGTATTTCAATAAAAAATATTTTGGACTGCATTTTTATACATTTGTATTTGTGATTTAAGACCTAAAAACTTTGATATATATAACTTATTTTGATTTAATATTTCCCCACCAAACCTTCATCTAGCAATAATACATTTTTTTGGTTATAAATTACAAATACAAATGTATAAAAACTTCGTTTAATTTTCTTCATATTATGCACATAAATTATGTATAAAATATATACTTTCATTAACATATTTTTTAAAAATGGAAAATTTCAGAATAACTTATCAGAAAAATAAAGGTAATTACCGAATCACACCTCATAAAATAGGAAAATTTCTGATTTATCAACATCAAATAATGGAGAAAATTTTGATTAACCGGCCACAGGCCAATTAGGCTGTTAAAAATCCGATTTGATCCATTTTAAGATTTTAGCCAAAATGATATCGTGTAAAATTTTGCTAATAGTACGAAGAGGATATTAGCCTCTATTTGCCAAATCTCGAGGCTGGTGAAATATTATTTGTGCTAAAATCGATTGTGTCGTTTTTAGAAATCTGCAACAATCAGGCTTTTTAACAACACTACCCGTCATTCTAGACGGACTATCTGCTCGTTAATATATAAAAATAACGTGTGTAAATAGGCAAGTCGTGATATGTGCGCCATTTTAAAATTATCATATTAGTGTTATTTTATTTATATTTTTGAATTTCTGGACTCAAATTGGTAAAATAAAAAATGGTAGTTGTAGAAATATATAAAACCGGTACAGCTTACAAAAGTAGTGTTGTTAAATAGCTCGTTTTGAGCTGATTTTTTAAAACGGTTAACTCATATTTTATCCTGAAAAGTATTACGCAAGCTTAAAGATTTAGCTCATAGATAGTACAAAGGTTTGGACAACTATTAGAGAAATCTCGAGGCTTAAGCGACATATTTCTGGCTAAAATATTGGGTTAACGTTTTTAAAAATTAGATAATATCGAGCTGTTTAATAACAATAATTTCGGACAAAATTTTTCTTTAAAATTTTAAAAAAGCGCTGAATAAATGATTTAAAGTTGTAAAAATAACAAAAATGCTTACCCATAAATAAAAAATAATTAACATTAAACCCAATATTAGAATCGCGGGAATCCATTGTTTCATTTTCTTCGCTACTTTCATCTCCGATATCTTCGTCATCTTCAGGCTCAATATCATTCTCTACAACTTAAGAGAAAATAATTATTACATTACGTTTTTGTTAATGAAAATAAGATTTAAAACCTAATCAAGGGATCGATATAAATAATTTTAAAATAAAATTTGATGAAATTAAACTCTTAATTCTATTCATATTATTTTATCATATTAAAAAACTACGTTTGTAGGTCTCTTTAATATTAAAGGTTATGGATCACCTCTTTTAAAGCTAAGTTTAAAAAACAAATTTTATGTCCTGGTCATAGAAAACAGCAAATCATTAAGAGGGGTTTAAAAATAGGTGATATGAGGTTAATTAAAAATTATTCTATTGGAGATGATTAATATATCAATGATAATATTAGTTATTTAACCTTTATATATATAATTTTTTTATGTGATTCATTTTATGTTCGTAAAATACATTAAGAAAAAAATAAATTTAAATCATTAAAAGATGCACATATTAAAAAATATAAAACAAGATCATCCTAGAGTGGTTTTAAATCTAAATACACATATGGCAAACATTCTATATAAATTCCCAATTAAATATAACACTAAAAAAAATACTTAATCATACATGATTGTATTAATATATAGATTTAAGAGATGATAATGATGTATTATGTCCAGTAGTGTTGTTAAACGGCTCGTTTAGAGCCGAATTTTAAAAACGGCTAACTCAATATTTCATTCAGAATACTATTACGCAAGCCTGAAGATTTTGTTTATAGAAGAACTAAGGTTTGGACATCTATTAGCGAAATCTAGAGGCTTAGGCAATATTTTTCTGCTAAAATATTAAGTTAGTTGTGTCCAGGCCTGATTTCAATATATAAAAACATTTTAACCGAAGCCTTGGCTAGTGCTATATAGTAATTTATATCAGAGATTGGCAGGCCCGGAACTAGTCCCAACCGAAGTGGTCTGTAAAACCGCATAAAAATTTTGGCAGAGCAGAGCTTAATTTTTGTATAAGGAAAAGGGAATAGGGGTTGCAATTTTTACTAATCATATTCAAAAAGATTATTTAAGTTAGGTTAATAACAATGATATACCATTTCCTGAATGGCGAGGACAAATAATGCTTTGAGTTATAAATGCAGCTGAAAAGAAAAGATCTAGGATGACCTCTTATAGAAGAGTTCATGATAACATCGAAATACTAGTTTTTTGCAGTTTAAAATAAAATTTATGATTTTATTTTTAATGAATTTTTATGCATGAAAATTACAAAATATTTACTTATAAAAGATTTTTTACAAAATAATATTTGGCATTAATAGGTAAAATTTGATCAAAAAATTTTTTTATTAACGATTTTTTTGAAAAAAATAACATATATATATATAGCGACTAATAACGAAACTAAACCTTCAGCCTCGTTAGACTCTTGTGATCTGCCGACAATCATACGTTCAAAGTACTCGTTCAATTCTGCATGAGAGTTTCTTTCATATTCGGAATCAGTTTTAGAGGAGTTATCGGAGATAGAATTAGAACCATGCAATATGTGGAGGGGTGGCTTGTTATATAAAATCCAGAAATTGACTAGCTTTGATGCAAAATATGAATAAAAAAAATATTATGCAGAGCAGACTCCAAAAATATTGTGTAAATAAAAAATAATTTTCTGAATTCAAAAATTTTTATTAAGGCTCCTCTCGGGCCTCACCTAGAACATCTCTAAGTTAAAATGGTCATTTATTTGATGGCTTAATGGAATTGTAAACATATTATTTTCAAAAAATCGCTTAAAATCTCTAATTCTAAAAATTAAATGGTATTAACAATCGTGGATAGAGAACTGCACGGGCTGTCCGTAGCCCGACCCGACCCGGCCCGAGCCTCGGGCTCGGGTTCGGACATCAAAAAAAAAATTTCGGGTTCGGGCTCGGGTCGGGTTGTAAAAGCTGTCCGACCCGAAAACCCGACCCGACCCGAAAATATATATAATAATATTAATATCTTAAATAGTTAGTATAATTTATAATATTAATTATAAAATCATATTTTTTAATATTTATCACATTTTAGGATTAAAATGTCAATCATATTAACATGTCATGTCATTATTAATTATTATTTTATAAACCTAACAACCGGATACCAAACTATTTTATTACTAAATTGTGTTTCTCGTAAATTACAAGATAAGACATATTTTATGTAAGTTTTATTTATTATTTAACTAGCCTATACATTGTCTTTTTTAACATTTGTTTTAACCCTTCACTACAAAGGTAGAAAAAACTCCCTTAACTACAAAGGTGGGGTCTATTTTACCCCAAATTTTGATTAGATATATCTCAAAACATATTAAAAATTGAGATCTAAAATTTTGAGTATATATTTAAAAAATATTGGAGATAATAAATACAAAATCTTAGATTAATATTTACTTCCAAAAAAAAGTTAGACAAATTTTCCTAAAATTACTGAAATAAAATTTTCTTTTTCAGTACTTCCTTTAATTATTTTATTATCACTAAATAAAATTCAAAAAATTCAAATTTTATTAAATCAATGTTGAATAATGATAATTACATAAATTTTATAAAAAAATATCATATATCAAAAAAAAATATTAATCATCAAATATGTAAAATTATTAAAAAATAATAATGTAAATATATATCTTAATATTATTATTGAATATTTTTTTCTTAAGAAACTACAGAGGTGGTAGATACGTTTTTGGACTTCTCTCTATGGGAGGCTGACAATGCGTATTCTGATGCTAGCGCCGAAGTTGACGAGCTAAAAAAATATCTAGATCCGAAATTATGTGTTGATGACGATAATATTTTAAAATGGTGGAAAACAAACCATTATGAGTTTCCAAATTTAAGTATTTTAGCTCTTAAATTCCTGGCTATCCCTGCTTCGTCGGCTAGCAGTGAAAGGGCGTTTTCAGCTGCTGGTAGGGCCTTTGAGGAGAGAAGGACTCGTTTAAAGCCAGATAAACTGGACACCTCTTTATTTATATATCATAATTATTCACTTTGTGATAATTTTGATAATGATATTGATGAGGTCAATATATAATATAATATGTTCATTATATTTTTTATATATTTATTAACTTTTACATCATATCTATATTCGCATAAATGATGCTTATTATATAATCGTTATAATTTTTAAATTCGCTTGTATATTAATCGTTTTATAATATTTTTTACAAATTTTAAAAATGCAACTTAATATATATCTTGAATAGATTATGGCTGTCAAATAAACTTTTATTTAAGGTGGCTGAACTGAATAAATACACATAAAATTTTTTTTGGTTATTATAATATTAAAACTTAAATTGCAAAATTTTATTCGGGTCGGGGTCGGGTCGGGTTGGATTAAAAAATGTGTGCTCGGGCTCGGGTCGGGCTCGGACAAAAAAAAATTTAAAATTCGGGCTCGGGTCGGGCTCGGGTTGCGAAAAAATTACTTTGCAGTTCTCTAATCTATTCAAGATATATATTAAGTTGCATTTTTAAAATTTGTAAAAAATATTATAAAACGATTAATATACAAGCGAATTTAAAAATTATAACGATTATATAATAAGCATCATTTATGCGAATATAGATATGATGTAAAAGTTAATAAATATATAAAAAATATAATGAACATATTATATTATATATTGACCTCATCAATATCATTATCAAAATTATCACAAAGTGAATAATTATGATATATAAATAAAGAGGCGTCCAGTTTATCTGGCTTTAAACGAGTCCTTCTCTCCTCAAAGGCCCTACCAGCAGCTGAAAACGCCCTTTCACTGCTAGCCGACGAAGCAGGGATAGCCAGGAATTTAAGAGCTAAAATACTTAAATTTGGAAACTCATAATGGTTTGTTTTCCACCATTTTAAAATATTATCGTCATCAACACATAATTTCGGATCTAGATATTTTTTTAGCTCGTCAACTTCGGCGCTAGCATCAGAATACGCATTGTCAGCCTCCCATAGAGAGAAGTCCAAAAACGTATCTACCACCTCTGTAGTCTTAAGAAAAAAATATTCAATAATAATATTAAGATATATATTTACATTATTATTTTTTAATAATTTTACATATTTGATGATTAATATTTTTTTTGATATATGATATTTTTTTATAAAATTTATGTAATTATCATTATTCAACATTGATTTAATAAAATTTGAATTTTTTGAATTTTATTTAGTGATAATAAAATAATTAAAGGAAGTACTGAAAAAGAAAATTTTATTTCAGTAATTTTAGGAAAATTTGTCTAACTTTTTTTTGGAAGTAAATATTAATCTAAGATTTTGTATTTATTATCTCCAATATTTTTTAAATATATACTCAAAATTTTAGATCTCAATTTTTAATATGTTTTGAGATATATCTAATCAAAATTTGGGGTAAAATAGACCCCACCTTTGTAGTTAAGGGAGTTTTTTCTACCTTTGTAGTGAAGGGTTAAAACAAATGTTAAAAAAGACAATGTATAGGCTAGTTAAATAATAAATAAAACTTACATAAAATATGTCTTATCTTGTAATTTACGAGAAACACAATTTAGTAATAAAATAGTTTGGTATCCGGTTGTTAGGTTTATAAAATAATAATTAATAATGACATGACATGACATGTTAATATGATTGACATTTTAATCCTAAAATGTGATAAATATTAAATAATATGATTTTATAATTAATATTATAAATTATACTAACTATTTAAGATATTAATATTATTATATATATTTTCGGGTCGGGTCGGGTCGGGTCGGGCTACGGACAGCCCGTGCAGTTCTCTAGAATAGATTATGGCCGTCAAATAAACTTTTATTTAAGGTGGCTGAACTGAATAAATACACATAAATTTTTTTTTGGTTATTATAATATTAAAACTTAAATTGCAAAATTTTATTCGGGTCGGGCTCGGGTCGGGTCGGGTTGGATTAAAAAATGTGTGATCGGGCTCGGGTCGGGCTCGGACAAAAAAAAATTTTAAATTCGGGCTCGGGTTGCGAAAAAATTACTTTGCAGTTCTCTAATCGTGGATATACAAAATTCGCTAAAGTATTCAAAATATAATTATTTTAAAATATAAATTTTTATCTAATATTATTTTCGGTTGATCAAACTTCAGAAAAGAAATCGTCGGTATTTTTTTCAGCCGTAGACGCTATCGGTAAAAACTTGAGAGCGGTAGCTACACCATTATGAAAATAAGGCCAATAGATATCTGAAGAAATGAATAATAATTAAGACATAATAAGGTTAAACACATATATATTATGCTGTGCGTAAAATTCATTAAGAAATTTACCATATATATAATAACTCAGCTCACGAAAGCTGTATGTGCGTTCCTTAAATGTAATGCTAAGCTGGTTTAATATCTTTTGCCGGTAATTTAATTTCATAATAAACCTATTTTCCTTAAATTAATATGTTAAAAATACCCGGACTAATATAAAATTTTCATTTTTATTTATACCCGTCACTAATCCCCCCTTTTTGCCTTGGTAATAGGTGACGTTCTCAGCCTCGCACAAGTTAAAAGTTGCGTCACCTTGGGTTCGAGATAAAATATCGACAACTCCGATAGAGTCTAACTTCACTAGCTTATTTCCCGCATTTTTTGCGTCTCTCTTGTCAGATTTTGAAGAATTTTGTTCGAGGTAATGACATGAGCCGAACAATTCAAGGTGAGAAAAATTAAGGAGGGATGCTAAATGAGGACCACGGCGAGTATGAAGGGTTAAAGGACCCCTGAATATAATATTGGGGAAAAAATATTATAAATTTGTTTCCCTTATATTTTTTTTCTTTTACCATTTTTTATCGGTTTTCTTGCTACCTTCCTTTTTATTCCTTCCTTCATTTATTCAAATAATCTTAGATAAAAAAATGAATGGATTCACTTAGCGAAAGGCAGAGCCAAGACCCTTGACCATTGTCTGAGAAGTCTTTTTTTCATTTCGAAAGGTAAGCGATTCTCTTCGATCAATCGGGCCTCTTCCTTTTTGCTGATCCATATCGGGATGAGTTTAGAGTGATCCATTAGGTAATCGGCCACTTCTAAACGCGTGTCTGAAGGAAACGGCTTTGATGGGAATGTGATACGATTATGAATAAACACATATTTATTTAAAAAATTTAAAATAGATTATTTATTATTCTTTTTTTAAAAAAAACCCAGAATCTAAAATAGAAAAATTTTACCTTAAAATTTATGAACCCTCTTTTCTCAATATATTTTCTAGTTAAAAAATTACAACTAGAAAATATTTTTATAGAATAGGAGATTACTTTTAATAAAAACAACTTATTATCATTATTTAAAATCAAGAGATGGTAACAAATTAAAATTAACTTTTAAATTCTTTCAAATTATTGTTTAAGATATATGAATACATTTTAGGGGGACAGGGGATAGGGAGATGGCTTGTGAAGATTTTTTTTATTAGTTTAAAATGAGATTCATAAAAAATGGCATATTTCTGAAGAGAAGATTTCCCCTTGCCCCCCCCCCTTCGCTACCCCTGTTTATAATATATTTTTTGGGCATTTAAATGATTTTTATAAGATTTGATTATGTAACATTAAGGGATAAGCATCATCTCCAACAAATACGTATGGAGATATGTTTGTTGAAGGTAAAAAAATCTGGATTAGGTATCTTAATGATTTTATTGATCATTCTTTCATAAAATAGGCTCTTTGTAAAAGTACTTATATCTGAGGCAGCCCAAGAAATTTAACCTCAATTAACATGAATCTAGAAAAGATTTATAACTTATAAAATACAGACCTGTAGAAGTACCATTTGCAAGGCACAGCCCAGATTTTTTTAAAAGAAATTTTTTGACCGGGTGTGGTTTTATATTTTCAGGCCTGGCCCGGTAATTTTTAAAATATATTATATTTAGTTTATATAAATAATAATGAAGATTTAAAACATGCGACCAAGCCCGGGTAATTTTTAAAAGAAATTTTTTTAGGTCCGGATATTTTTAGACCCTGCCCGTGTATATTTAAAAAAATTAAAATATGGGGCTGGGCCTGCAGGTCTCTGTAAAATATATATAATAACCTTGCTCTATAATCATCTAAAGTTTGTGGTGCAATCGAAATATATTTTTTATAATTAAAAAACATGGATCTACCTTTTTAGGTTGGTTTGTCTTCTCAAGCTATCAAAGAAAGAAAGAAAGAAAGAAAGAAAGAAAGAAAGAAAGAAAGAAAGAAAGAAAGAAAGAAAGAAAGAAAGAAGAAGAAAGAAAGAAAGAAAGAAAGAGTAAAATATATTTTTTTGCTAATAAATAAAATTAATTAATTTACTATGTTGATATTGGGCTGAAGAGTGCTAGTAGTAGCATTCGATAGAATGGTATCTTTGCCTTGCTTCTTATCACTAATATAAAAAATCAAAAAAAAATCGATATTTTGTTATAAATTTGGCTATTCTTTTTTATACATGAAATTTATTGTTAAAGGAAAATATACACTTAGTTGAGCAGTTATAATTTAAACCTTTTATAATGGTCCTCGAGAGGACAGATATTTAAAACGACGGGTAAAGAGGGAAAAATAAGCCCGAAAAACATAATTGATTGACTTCTAAAACTCTCTTTATATTCCTTAATATCTCTTTTAGAGCCATAAAAAAAATTGAAAAACTTTTAAATCTTATTTCTACTCATAGAATTAATAACTATTTAACAAAACACAAATAATAAACCAGAGTTGACACTAAATATAAATTTGGCTAAAACCTCCGAGAATTGTGTCTTATCATATATGCTAAAAAAGCCTCGGTTATATGAGTGGTCTGGCTGAGAGAAGTTGTGGGATCTTTACCTAAATCTAGATCTTTCATCAGTTTTTGCAATAAAAGGAAGTGATGATTCGATGGTTTAGATGGAATATCATCATTTTTAGCTACATTTAAAAAAAATGTAATATGAAAATTTATATTTATAATAACATTTTTGATTGGTCTAGTATTTTGAGAACATAATTAAAAGAAAAAAATAATTTTGTATTTTCATTTCAATCCAATATTAATTATCAAAAACCATTCCCACAAAAAAGAAGAGGTTTTAGGTACTTTTTATCTAATCTTTTTCCTCATATCATCATCAGAAATCTTAAATTTTTTTCATATTATTTAGATATAGATAATTGCAAAAGAGTTAAATTTTAGATGATAATTATATAACATTCGTGATTATAAAGGTAACCGTAAAACTTTGACAATAATATGCCCTCTTCACTCCCCAGAAGTATCTAGTGACTTGGATATATAAAAGTTTTGTTAGAAATGTATAGATTTAAATAAATAATTATTTTATTTTACTAATATAACATGTAGCATTGGACGTGAAATATTACCAATTTTGTCATTTTTATGAAATATATAAATAGAATTTTGCGATGTGTTTATACATAATAAATATTTTTTCCATATCTTACAAAGGAAAATCCTTTACATCTATAGCTCAACACTGAGCTAGATGTCTGATAGGTGACGTGTATAAGAAGATGATGTTCTATCTCATGTATTAGGGCCTGGGCAGAATAACTAGACACCCTCCCAGGAACATTATTATCACTTTAATGAGATAATTACAGTGAGGTACGCAATCTATCGCAAATTAATATTTCATTGCAAACTTTCAAAAATTCCCGATAAAAAGAAAACACAAAAACCATATTTAATTTTCATAAATATAAACCTAAACAAAAGAGGGGATGTAAAAAAATTAGTTTAAAATAAAATAAGAGAAACCATACTTAACACTTTGAATCTAATTAAAAATTTTATTTTTTTAAGAATCAGAAATATTTTTATCCTCCGTGCTCAATGTATATTAAATTTGGGGATCCCATAAGTTGATATCGATAGTAATGAATTCCCTTCCATAACCTCGTCCGGGGTAATATTGATACTTTTTCCCGTTTTTCTCAAAAAACTTATATTAGTTTTGCTCTAGAAATAAGTTCATACATCTGAATACTTACAAAAAATTTTGAAAAATATATAATTATTTAAACATATTTTATACGGGACCGAAGAACGGATTTACAATGATTTAACCTATGTGAAACTCATTCAAAATTTTTTGTCTACTCGCCTTTTTCTATACTACACCACACCCTAAAGTACATTATCATAATAAGCTATTTCTGAGTCACAACATTAACCATCTATTCATATAAAGATTAATAAATCTTTGAAGAAAATCATATAAATAATTAATCTTAAATTTTAAAAAAGCAATTAATTATAATAAAATAAATAAATTAAACAATAATATACCATTCGGAAAAGGAGTTTGAATATGAAAACATTCTATTAAAGGGCGATCGATGTCCGAAGATTTTTGTAACATAGCTCTCAATATTGCGCAAACATACTTCATGGGAGTAGCGAGCGAGGAGACGTAAAATATGTTAAGCTTGAATTCCTATTTTTAAAAAAAAATGAAGGAAATTTATTCGCATAAAGGAGTAGTTCAATTTAATTGATATATTTTTGCTGTTTATCTTTCTTTTTTTTCCTTTCCTTCCTTCGTGGGACAGGGCCAAACTGGACCTGGACAGGGTGTAAAAATTTCAATTGTACTTGATATATTTCCTTGTATATTTCGAGCAACAACCAGGCATTTCTCCGTAATTTGGTGACGATTTCGTTATTTAATTTAGGAGAATTTGGAGATTTATCGGAAAAGTAGAAATTAGCGAATAGTGGTAAACCAGGGTTGAAACAAATATTAAAACAGGATTCAGTAGATGGAAAACCGGGTCTAAACCGTTTAACAGATGTTATTATTTCGTCGCTGAGATTAATAAGGTCTGGCGACTATCAAAAATTAAATTTATAAATAAAATTAATGTAATTAACAATCGATAGAAATAATATACACCATTTTTGGTTAGGTCGGAGCTCGTCTTCTTTCTTTTTAAAATTCTAAGGGGCTGTGAACTAAATTTTTTATATTAAAAAAAATAAGAATTACACCCTATGTTTTTAAAAAAACCCATCCTAGTTTTTTTGAATAGAACATCTTATTCGAAATTAGGAACAAAAATTATAGTATGAGGTTTATCTGAGTAGAAACGATCAAAAATACTGTTTGATATTCGTTCCGCAAGGAGGTGGGAAATAAAATATTAATATAGTGAAAATAGGTAACTATAAAAATAATACTGGAGGTTGTTTGATCTATTAGCCTTTTTTCACAAAATTTTGTAAATTTGAAAATAATATAGAGAATAATTTCTATAAATATTTGAACGATATTCGTTCCAAAAAAACCTTCCCCGTTATTTATAATTTTCCTCGGACATCTATATAAGTGATAGCTTGGTTAAGCAATTCCTTTTAAAAAAAACACTCTCATAGCCCTCGCATAGATAAAAAATGTATATGTATTAGTAAACGCTTGACTCCTTCCCAAATTTCTTCGTGGTTAGGAGTGTGTAAAGTTTTTCAAAATCAAATCCGTCCACGCCTAAGCATTCTAAGCCGTGCTCAATTAAGGAACCAAACTGTGAAGCGACCAGCTTGTAGTTTTGAGATTTCGAACTTGATATCTAATAATGATATAATAAAGATATATATATTTTTTTAAACTATTTGAAATGAAACGTATTATATATACTCTTTCTTTACTTTACTTTTCTTTCTTATATGTATAATAATAGATTATGTTCCATTTCTAAAAATAGTTATAAAAAAAATTTATATATGTAGAGGTTTCGCTTTGGATTTTTAGCAAATTTATAACAATCATTTAGAGCGCGCTTTTTTTTTTAAATTTATCAGATTTTGACGGAATCATATATCCAGCATATATAGAGAACATTACCCTGTGAATGTGTGACAATATTGTCCTGAACACTTGAACTACTTTAAAATTAATATTAATTTTTATATGTAGATTTTTTCCCGTATAAATTAAGAAATACACAAAATTTATAGCAAAATCTTCTTTAAATTCATATAGTTAATACAATAACAAGAATTTGATTCCTTTTAAAAAAAAAAAATTATTAACAAAAAAGAAAATTCGTTTTTAAAAAAAAAACATACATAGAACAGGAACCTTAAACAAGGGCATTTTTTAAGTTCCTGTTCTATCCCAGCAGTTACATCCAAAGAAAATATATTCTGCTCCAAGTTTCTAAACTCCTGGATAATAAATATCTATTTTTTTTCTATTTAAATATAAACAAATTTTATTCTTTCATTTTTATTTAAAATTATATCTAAATAATATAATATATTCTGCAAAAAATTATCATTTAATTCTTCCTATGATGTGTAAATAAAGATTCTAGTGGTCTAAAAAAGGCTTTAAAATACATGCTTGGCAAACAAATGATGAGCATTGAAATATTAAAACTTTATAATTTTATACTAATATTTAAATTCTAGCACAAAAACATCTAAAATCATTCTCTAAAATCACGTAAAAATTAATAAATAAATGTGACATGAATTAACTTTAAAAAAAATTAAAAATAAAATGGAAATAAAATCCACCTCACCAGTTCCCGTCTAAAATTTTTATAGTATTGTTATGTGGAGTAAAATTGGAGTTTTTCTTTTAAAAAAAATAGAATATTTATGAGTCATTGATTCATCTCTCCCAAGCTAAACCCGAAATTGTATCTATATTTTAGGCCCAAACCCAGCCATAAATTTTTAGTCGAAATATATTAATTACACGCATTTTTAAATAAGATGAAATCAAATATAACTAATAGTTTTGTCCTTAAAGTATTTGGTTCATAGTTAATATTTATATCGAACTTTAAAAACTTTGATTATACGTCGATTTTATTCTATAGAGAGAAATCATTATAAAAAAAAGGTATAATGATTCTAAACTCTAATTTGAAATATAATAAATGTTCATAACTGAAGCTCATTAATCATAATAAGATAATCAGTTAGTGTTTAAATTTATAAAAAAAAGATAAACTTTTTCGTCCGTCGTAAAATGTGCAGAGTGAAAAAATGATTCCATTCTCTTTTTGTACCATTCTTTTTTGACGTGGGCATAAAATTTGATATCCTGGCAACGTTGGTCATTATTTCGATCGCTCAATTTGTCCCATAAATACTTACCTATATTATGACATTCATCCGGTTCAAGTATAAGTATTTATTAAATAACAAAATTAAATCTAAATAAAAATAGAAATTGAGTATTAATTAGTAATAAATATATAACGTATCTCCTAAGAAAATTTTTTTGTTTTTCAAATACGTAAATTTAATCATCAATAATCTCTATAAAAAACTTATTCTGTTTTTGAAGACTATAACCGGATCCGATATCTCTACATAAATATTAATTAAATGAAATATCAATCAAATAATAAGATCTTTCGACGTTAATAATTGGGCATCATTCTATGTTTTTTCCTCTAATCCGTTAATCATATCTTTCCCCACCTTATACAATTGTTTTAACATCAGGGGTAAAAAAAAATTAATTTCTAAAATTTTAATCATTAAACTTAAAAAAAGTTTTCTTAAATGTAATGATTACATGAGGAAACATCGTAAATGGGCGGTATATGAAGCCTGTAAAATTTGCTGCTAGTATCATATATAGTAGGACTTTTCGAGAATGACATGATCAAATCGGACGATGGGGTATAAAGTAATAGTTTAAGGTGGGGTAGATAGGTCTTTTCGCTGTTAGAGGAGTTGTTTGCCGATTCTACAATATGGATCGAATCCTTATGTCTGGTATCTGTATCGTTTACAAAATTAATAAAATAGGAGAAAAAATTCCCTATAATATATCCATGGAATAAAAATCCTCAAATAAGTGTCAATAACTTAAAATAATATGATAGATCCAATGTCATTTAGAGAAAAGATTGGGATTTAATAACATGATAAAAACATTTGGATTAGGGTTGAGGTGTTCTGTATGACTTATAATGGGATAATATTTTTATGGGAGTAGGGTAGCCTAGAATTGTAGGAACGCTTTTTTTTAACGGATCTCGATCCCAAAATATATTATCATAGACTCTTAATCAAAGCACCTAATACCACTTAAACAATCCAATCGGGATCTCTCAATAAAAATAAGTAATTAACGTTAAATTAATTTAATGATCCATTCCCTTCCTTCCTCTTTTTTTCCCGATTCGATTTGGAATATTAGAAATAAGATTTTTACTTCCCGTTACGCTATCTCTCTTGCTTTCCATAGGGTTGGTTACGCGTTTAAGCGCTTTCTCGAGGAATTCCTTACTAATTCTAGAATCGATAGATGTTTCTTGCGTTGTATCTCGAGTATGTTCCATCTGAGATATAACGTTTGGTAGATCCAGTAAATTTGATAATCCAGAAAACTGATTATCATCTTTGGTAAAATCATCCATCAATGGCTCATTATTTAGCAAGGAGAGAAGCAGGGACGAAGGCACCTCACGAGACAAATCGTTGAAGGTGATATCGAGATCTTAAAACGAATTGTTATGGATAGGAAAATAATTGCTAAGTTTTACTTAGTGTGAAAAAAAAGGAAGAAGATTCTGAATTACTTTATCAGAATGGGTTGAGTTCGTAAATACCTCTGATTCTTGCCAAAGGATTTGATTCAATATAATATTTTGTAATGACCTGTTTACATCTGTATTTTCACACAATCCGATTCATTCATTCTTTGTTAATTTATTTTTTCCTTTCAATTTTCCATCCTTCATTATTATCTTACACTTTAAAGAGATCAAAATTTCAAACTTCTATTAGCCATAATAGGAGACATAGAGATTTTTCTCCTGTCATGTGCCTCAACGTGAGTACGCTTCGGGTTAGTGAAAGGCGTGGAAGCGGATTCTTTTTTCTCCGCTCGAAAAATTTGCAAACAGTTGTTTTTATTATTATCGTAATCATTAGGCTTGCTATCGTCTGTTCGTAACGAATTGGGTATGGCCAAGGTATGCAACTATAATAGTTTTTATATTAAAACGTATTGTAAGCGTGAAATTAGGGATCTAAATTACTTATTTTAAGCAGTTAGATCTATGTAAAAAATTCATATATTTTTTTATTTTTCCGCCAATTGAGTCCGGACTGGTGCTGTTATGATAGGAATAAATAATATTTATTAAGTGTTATTGTGCGGATGGATACTGACAGCCATTTTTATGTTTTTTGGAACAAAATATTAATAATCCATTGGTCTAAGAATTAGATTATTCTTTTCCACTTTTTGTAATTTTACAGAATAATTTTAAAATTTAAGTTTTATTTTTAATAGGATATTTAACTTTATATTGGCTATAATTTAACTTATTTTATTTATTCGAATCTTTTTATGTAAATAGAATAGTATAAATATAAAAAAAATTGATTTATGTAAAAATGTCATTTTTGACAAATAGTAGATATCGAATAATAAAATTCTCAGGCGATACATATGAAATATTGGGAGAAGGAGATATATGTCACTTTAAGTATTTGATACACTATAGAAGGGATAGAATTTTTGGCTTGTTTTAATATTCGTCTCTAAATATATTTTATTATTTAGTGTCAGAATAGTTAATTATTATATGATTTGTGGCCTTAAAAAGGAAATTTTATTTTAAATAAAAATATTAAACCTTGTCATTTCCTGAATAGAAGACCAAATTGAAAATTTCCCCACCATTTACTTGGTCGGGTTCTGCTTGCGCGACAGCTATTAGACCGAGCTCTGTTAGGGAAATAGCCGTATGAGCCGGAATAGGCGAACACAGATCATTTTGACGGCTAATGCCACCTAGGCGATCTATATCGAAAAGATATTCCGCTGATGGTACAGTAATATTAGATGGTTTATCTTTGTACATCAAATCTTCGAGTTGTTTGTTGACATCGATAAGTGTAAGATGATTTGAAGGCTGTAAAAAACACAGGTATTTTCTGGATTCGTAATTTGGTCCAGTGAGGAAAAAAGGACTAAGACATTCTTGAGAATTCGCAACCTTAGTAAAATAAAAAAAAATAAAAATTGGTATGTAAAATATCTTATCAACATAAGCGTTAAAATATTTAAAATAAAAACAAAATATTTTGGTTAACAAATCATATATCTTAATATGGTTATCTTGTAATACTTTGTTTTATAAACCAAAACTTGACTTTTTGTATCTTTTAACGTTCTTAAAACTTTAGAACGTAAATAATTAACTTCCCATCTTATGGGATAATTTCCAAAATATTATGTCAAGAGTTGATTTGGAAGATTTAAATTAAATAATTCTGACCGGAAATAAGTAGGATTTATATAAGTTACATCAGTAAATATTCAAATAAAGTAACCCATGACCGGAATATATATATGGCCTCTTAAAAATTTTTTACAAATCAACTGATCTTTTAGTAATAAACCAAAAAATTGTAATCAATATTAACTTATATAAATGCCAACAAATTTAAGAAAAATAGTTTTTTTAAAAAAGAAAGATACTTTAAATTTTTAGATCTATTTCATAAGAAATATTTTTTAAAATATTAAATTAACCAAATATTATGAGATAGATCGTTAAAAAATATCAAAAATATTCTCAGAAGTCGAGTATGATTATATATAGGAATAGAGATATCACGGATACAATTTGGAGCAGGACCCGGACGGATAAATATAAAAATTTAGAGCATGGTCTAGCATCGATGAAAAAATTGAATCTGGTACATTTTTAAAATATAGTATTGTAAAAAATTAGGTTCAAACTATCAGACTAAACTAAATGCGGGCTTGGGCAATTCAAAAACACTTCCATTCATTCTCATCTAGACCGTTTAGGTCCAAAAGAATGCAATATTTTTTTAAAAAAAGAGTCCTTAGAGACGGTATATGACACGAATTTTGGTCGGAGAGAAAATATTACATTATCTAAAATTTCTGATTCCCAAATAGGCTTCATACACATGGTAGGCCGAGACAATTCTTTGAAGAGATCATAATTTTTCTTAGATCCATCCATATCATCTTTATTCTTGTAACCATTTTGATCGATTGCTTCGTCAGTTGAATCAATCATAGATTCCAAAAAATTTGCTTCATCATCCTTTAGAACAGTCTCAAATTGTTGGACAAACTGCGGACCTTCCCCTCTGTGCGAAGCATTAAATACCGAAGATGCTAGGGATGATTGCATAGAAGAGTATGGCTTAATTTGTAGAAATTACATATATATTTTTTTAAAATATAATTAATAAAAATAGGAATAGGGCAGTACCTATATACCTATTTCTCCCCGCCGATATTTCCCAATTACAAAACCGATCTAATAATCGATATTTAGATTGATTTTTATTCATCATCTATGAACCAATGTCATAAAAAATGCTTTCTATTTTAAAAAATAACTAACTTTAACGAATGATTAAGTGATTTTGCTTATTTAAAATATAGGACTCGTTAAATATTTTTAAAATCCTTTTCTTATTGAAGATAATATGACAAAAAATAATATCATATTTTTAACTACATTTTTAAAATAATTAAATTTTTACAAGCAAACTGAATTTTTATTCCTTTTATTCATTTATTATTATTAAATTATGTATAAAATTTTAAAAAAAAATTATATAATTATATATGAATATTTAAGTTCGTCAAATCAGGCACAATGTGTATTGTATTGCGTGGATGTAAATTTATGATTCAAAAATTTATTGTCAAACTAACTGAAATTTATAGGATAGGTATATTCTAAGTATACTGGAATATATTTTTGGCAAAATCTTATTAAAATGTTTTAAAAAAATAGTTTAGACAAATGAATACGCTATTTACCAACTCGGAATTATTTACCTAGAGCGTTTTTAAAATTTTATATAATCTAATTTTTTAGGAAATACATTCCAGCTTATCCTATAAATTCTAAATAATTTTGTAAGATATTACACTATTTGTATTGACTCATTGTGCAATTTAACTGTAATATATGTACAATTATAATCATAAAATAACCAAAAACAATGAAATATCGGATCAATTTTTTTTTGAAATATAGATCCAATCAAGGTTTTTTTTTTGTTAAAAATAATTAGGTCAAGCGCATAAGAGTCCGCCTACAATTGGTTCACCCCCTTTCCCGCCAACCAAATCAAAGGGTATTTTTATAAAAGACAGCTGTATGTCTAGGCTTTTGCGTTGTTAAAGTAGGGCGCTACTATAAAATAAACTAATAATTTAGTTTTATTTTATATAATAAATACACATAAAAATTATTAAAATATATTTGTAATTAATTCTAAAATAAAATCCATATTCATTTTATTTTATTTTATTTAATTTTGAAATTTATATTTAAAAATCAGCATTATGAATCTAGTTTTCATAATAATTTTAAAATTTTAAGTGTCGACAATAGAGATTAATATTGAAGATAATTTTGCTACAGATAATATCGACAAAGTAATTTCCATGGTATGATAATATGAAATTTCCTTTTCCTGAATTTGCAAAATATCTTAATCTCGATAAAAAAAATTAACACAGGGTATAAATTTAATCGTAAGATTTGGCGGAAGCTTTTATCATCAAGCAAGATTAGTAACTTCAATGAGGAAACATTTAAAAAACAATAATTTAATATCAATACCAATCCTTAATCTACAAAATAAAATTATCAAGGCTGTATCTATAATAGTTTTTGAATGGTATGTTTCAACTGGCCATAAGATATTATTTAAGAATTATATTATAAATTAAAATTACAATAAATAATTAATATTAACATTTCATTTTATCATCAAACTCATCTATTTAATGATAAAGATTTATAAATTATTATTTGGATGTTAAATATGCTTAAAATTAAACACTCATTGATTTATATATTTATAAATTTAATAAAAATATGCTAAAACAAAAACTTATTTCATTCTTTTCACATTCCAATTTCGAGAAAGATTGATTTAATAGATAAAATATTAAAGGGTGGTGGCCTGGCCAGTTAACAAACATGGCCATCCACTAATCCCCTACATAATTTTTATTCCATTTATTACTATTACTAGCTAATAATCTGTCAAGAATGACGGGGTTGAGGGGTAATCGTTTGTGTATATGGTACTAAATATATTTTATATAAATATTAAAATTTAGGAGAAATGAGGTAAATTTGTGAATCACACCTCATAAGATATTCTTAAGTTAGAATATGATGACTCGTCTTTCTTGATGGGCAATGAAAAATATATAACTAAGAGACAAAGCTCTCGTTAGTCAGCATTGCTGAGCCCGTCAAAAATGATGGGGAATGAGAATTCTTTCCTTACTCTTATGATAGTTGTTACCTGTTATTTGAAAATAATAAATTTTTATTCTTTATAACCCCCTCCCCCCTTTCAGGCCAGGTCTAATTCTATAAAACTAAGTGTAAATGCTATGTTTTAAGTCAAAATGTATATAAAGCTTTTACTTGATACTCATATTAATATTATTTGTTAAAATATTACTGATCACCTATGCTTTATGCTTAATATTTAATATTGAAAAAATTCCCAAGCAAGGTCGATGCCCTTAATAATTTTGAAAAAATTTCCCTAACCCCAACCAAAGATCATAATAATTTTGGTAATTGAGAACTGGAATAAAATATGGGCCTTAATTTTTTGATCAGGCCGAGCCCAGGCCTGCAAAATAAAAATTTGTTTTAGGTCAATGTCTGATCCATAGTTAATAATAATAAAAATGCCCAAGCGTCCAAGCTGATAATAATTTGAAAAATTTTCCCCAAGCACAGCCTAACATAATTTATAAAAGTATTTTCCAAGCCCAGCCCGACCCATTATTATTTTAAAAGTTTTTTCTCAAACCTGGCCAATCGATAGTAATTTTGAAATTTTTTTTCCAAGCCTGGAGTTTCCAATAAAAAAAATAAATATTGATATAATTAAACTACTTTTAAAAATATAGTTTCATATATAAGAAGAATTGTATTACAAAATTTAAGATAAGAGGCTGAGTTGGAAGTATGGGGATAGAATCCCGTTGATGTAAAAAAAATTTTTTCTTAACTTAACAATAAAGATATATAGTCTCCTTCGATTTATTAACATTAAGATGATAGGAAAGTTGGAAAAAATAAAAACAACATTAAGATTATGCGAAAACGTTCATTTCTTGATTACGGAGATGGGTATATGTTAGATAATTTTAGACTGATCCTAGCCAGATTAAAAATACATCTACTATAGATGATTTTTTTAAAATAATTAATAGTACTATGAATATTCTTTAGACGCATTTTTTTAAATCTAAAAATACTCAAATAAATATTTTTGATGATTTCTTATATAAAAAAAATGTATATTAAATTTAATACTGCATGCATGCTAGTGTTGAACGTTGAGGATGACAGTATGGAAATGTTATTAGTATTGAAATGAAATAAATAAAAAAAAATTTATATATTTTTATCAAATTTTAATCATATTTTTTTATTTGTGGAAATAAAGATAAATAAAAAATTTTTTTTTTAAAAAAATTATAAAGTATCGGTGCTACTTTTTTGAAAACGCGGTAGCGATAGCGCGCTACCTTTTTTTGTAAAATAGCGGTGCGATAGCTTGCTACTTTTAAAAATAGCTCTTAACAACGTAGGCTAATTACCCGCGAAAAAAAAGTGTTTAAAATTTATAGTCTTTACCTACACCATTTTAGGCTCGAAATTACTAAATCATAATATGACCTCTATGATTATTATTATTATTCGTTAGCAAAGAATTCATTTTAATTAAGCGGTTCAAAGGATACGATTTTGTTACATAAAATCCTCAGAATGATAATAAATTTAAGAAATGGGAGCCATGTTCTGAAATATGAATTTTTATATTAAAAGATAAAAAAATATTTAAATCCAAGGTGATTCGGAATCTTCAAATTAAAAAATTTTAAATCTAATTTGACAGAAAATTCATTCCAACATATGTAGAGTATACATAAGAGTAAATTTAAAATCATGTTGCCGTAAAAATTTTGTTTAAAAAAATACATAAAAGTTCATGGCGAAAATTGTTGTATAAGGTAAACTTTACACATGCTAGAATGTATTTCCGATCGAATCAAATTTTTTAAAAATCTAATGAGACAGGAAAACATGCTGCAATTCATTTCAGAAACAGATTTTTCAGATTTAAACGCTCTCGGCAAATTATTTAAAATTGAGAGACTCCAAATTTTCGTAAATCCCATATTCCAATTGTGTATATGATATAAAATATCGTTAACCTCTTTGAAGTGTGTTTCCAAATGATGCGATAATACGCCATCAACTTTAGCGCGTTTAAGATCATGGTGACTATTTTGTATGGAGATATTCAGGTTACTCTTGCAGCGTTTATCGATGGTGAAGGAAGAACTTATAGACCGGGGCAGGTTGGATGGTTTATAAATTTTTGGTGTATTCGTATCGCTTATTAATTTTCATAAAGGAATGATAATTTATTTTTGCAAAAGTTAATGTATTTATTATTTTTTCTTAGATAATATTTTTATGTAATGGCTTGGAGTATAAATAACCAGTGGTCCCTACAACGGGGGGGGGGAGGGTCCGAAGCAACTGCTTAAATAAATTTGAGTGGGGGTACTTTTTTAAAAAAAATAAATAATTTTTTTAAATTTTTTTTTTAAAATTTTCTTTATTATTTAATTTTTGTTACATCCATCATGATCATGTGATTTCTGGTTTATAAATGTAATAATAAACCCCCCCCCCCCAGATTACATTTAACAGGTGCTTTTCAATCATAGTTGAGGCACATATAATGTTTCGAAATCAGAAGCAATAGCTTTGATAGTAAGATATGTTGAAAATAGTGAGACGCCGTAGCCTGTTGAAAGACATATTGACATATATTATACGGGAAATACCACAGGTCTCGATTTTAAGCATAATATAATATCCAAACTTGGCTTGATGAATTTAGCCCTTGAATTTCTAGTTGGGCAAAGTTATGACGCCTCAAACATGAGTGGAAGAATCAATGGTGTGCCGGCCTTGATTAAAGCTGAGGAGCCAAAGGCTGCTTTTATTTGGTGTTATTGTCATCGATTAAATTTAATCATTGTTCAATTATGCCAATCAATAAAAGAACTTCGAAATGTTCTAGGAATACTAGACGAGATTTATATCTATTTTAATGGTGTAAAAAGATATGAGGTACTCAAAGAATGTCAGTTTAATAATCTGGAAAAATCGCAACGATTTCTATGCATCACACTCTACCTTATTTATTTAGATTTAAAATGTTTTTTTTATTTAGAAGCTGGCTATCGTCATATAAAGCTATTGTAAATTTTTTCCTACTTTATGATGCCTTGAGGGCAGCTTTAACAAATTTAAAGGATTCTGAAGATCCTGCCACTTCCACTATGGCTAGTGCTATAGTCTTTAGAATATAAAAATTTGATTTTATCTTATCACTTTGTGTTTTGGATAAAATATAGTTGATAACAAGTTTGGCTTGTACAAAATTGCAAACCATTTTGAAGGATATAGGGTTTGCAATAAATCAAATTCAATTGGCAAAAGATTGCTTGATTAATTTGAGAAGTATAATATAAAATATTGTCTTAATTACTTTTTAATCTAATAGATAATAACACTGAATTTTTGGATGTTTTTTCAAAGGCACAAGATTTTATGAAGGAGAGAAATATACCTTTTGATTTTGAAAGTTCTAGACTTCAAACATTACAATCCAAAAAGGAAAGGTATATTTACTTCCATCATTAAATATAGAAATTTTTTTAGCTTTGAAATAGGTGTGTTTTATGCTGCACTCAATTTAATTATTATGTAGTTTAATGAAGGATTTATGATGATTCGATGAAATTTTTACATCAAACATCATTTTTTTATGCCAAAGGGAATGGCAGAAAAATCAATCATTAAAGAAGATATCGAAGATATCTGTGAATTTTACAATTTAATCAAGTCAAATTTTCGAAGAAATGTTGAAATTTAGAAATATTTATAAGATGGCCAAAATGGGGAATGTAATAATTACTCATGACCTAGAGATTCAAGAATCTAAAGATTTGTCAGATTCTGAGAATTGTAAATTTATTTAATTAAAATATTTTTACCAATACATTATTTAGCTTCTTCTGATGATGATGATAATTCAGGGACTTACGATTCAGATTGGAAAAACTATTCATTTATTTTACCTTATCGTCTACTTTTAAATTTTTCTGCTTTCCCTAATTTAACAATTTTATATAAATATTTATTAACCCTCATGTACTGCCGAAAGAGTCATGAGTAAAATTAAATTAATTAAAACAAGACTTCGTAGTACCATGAAAGATTCATTTCTCAATAATTTAACCATATTATCAATGGGAAAAAATTTATTTAAACAATTAAATATTGATAAAATTATAAATTCTTTCGCTTTCTCTTCCCCTAATTTATCTAAATTATTAATTTAAAAATAATATTTAAGTATATATTTTTTGCATTTTATTTATATTATATATTAAAAATTGATGCAATAAAAATTATTTTTGAAATTTATGGGTGTCATAAAATAATTATCATTTTTTCGAGGGGGGGGGGGTGTACTTTTCAAGGGGGTATTCTGCTTCATTCGCTCAAAAAGTGTAGGGGCCACTGTAAATAACGAAATAATATTGGCTTGGTAGTTAAAAAATAATTCAATAAATACAGTATACAACTCGCTATAGTGAATCAAATTTCAAAGATTAGCCTAAAGTCATATTCTTGTAATAAAGTATAAGTATATGTTATAAATCTTTTTTTTTACCAAAAATATATTTAATTACCTATTTAGAATGCATTCAAAGTATAAATTTTAATCTCTCTTATCCTCTCTCCATAAAATTTATTAATTAGTAATTTTTGTTATCATATAATCGCATTCAAGTTCATTAAAACAATGAGGTTAGAACTGTAAGGGTATTATATATTAATATAATTATGAAAAGATATTTCTTTTCAGCATAATATTTGTTTCTATACTTTTATCTCATGTACTATTCAAAAAAAAAGTAAGAAATAACTTTGTACCTACCTACCCCTAAGGTTATCATTATTGACATGCACGTTTGGCAAGGTTTCCCCTCGTAAATGACCAGTAAAGGCCGTAAAACCATTATCCAATAACTTTGCGTATTCGATTTCACCATCATCTTCCGTCAACCGTAATATAACGTATTTGCAGCCAGACTTGTTTTGATTTTGGCTAACTCGTGCCAATAGGAGAGTCACATAGTTATCAGCGGTCGCGCTTAGAGTTGCAGGCAATGTTAGGGTGTTCATGATCGAATATTGGGCAGGGTCAGCTTCAATTAAGTTTGACGAAGCTTTAAATATTTTATTAAAAAAGAAAGAGTATCTACATTTAATTTTTTTTTTAATTTTAATTCCTATTCTTTTAAATTATGTAGATAACAATGTCTTTTTCGTTCCTTAGTTCTATTGTATAGGAAGGATTAAGTTCAGGATTCAGTTAAGTTGAAAATGGGATGGGTAATAATGAGTTGCCAGGACAAAAAAATAGAATAATAATTAAAATTATCATTTTTTCATCTAGGTCAATAGCTAAACCAGCGTAAACTAAAAGTCAAGGGGGTCAAACAAATACAAGATGAATAATTTGGGAAACCCAGATTCGGTTCAAGGTAACGTAAAAATTAAAAAGGAAAATCCGAAAAAAATATATATTATTTTTTAAAATCATAGACAATAAAATTAGAATCCCATTACCCAGCAATTCACCTATTGTAGTTATAAATTAACTTAATATTTAAATTTATTTATTCATTATGGTTGTTTGTAACCCACAATTTTTAAAATATATCAACCGTTATTATTATAATGCTTCACTAGCAGATTTATTATCCTATCTACTAAACGATAAATATTTATTTTAAGTATCAAATGTAACAATGAAACCATTTTGTATTATACCCTGACCTAACACCAATCTCTTGTCTAACTTGATAAAATTCAAAACGAGATCTGATATTCAATAGAATTATATCTATAGATATAATTATAAACAAAACAAAACAAATTGAATTAAGGTTTGAACATTTAATTTAGGATAAAAATAGTAAATAAATAATTTAGACCATATTCATAAGAAAGAATATTTTCATCATTTCATTTAAAAACTTAGGAATCATTATTGAACTTTAAAAGATGGCAAAACTAGTTTTCTTTTAAATATATAAATTCAAATATACCAATGTCGAGGACATAATAATATTTATATATTTTTAATCTATTAAAGTATTGGAATTTTATTTTTTAATCTTATAAACTTATTATTTTTATTTTTAAAGAAAAATATTAGAATTACATTGCATTAACAATATTAATAAAAAAACTGGGGAAAAAATGTTACCATTAATATTAGCTTAAGGTTTTATATTTTATCTTGAATTCATAATATTAAATAATTTCTCACTAATATATTAATTGAATATATTTAACATTTTATTTTAAATATTGTGTCAAAAATTGAAATAGAAAATGAGAATCAAAAATAAATGAAGAATTTTTTTATATAAAAAATTCATTTGATATTTTTTATTCCAAAAATTTAATATTAGAATTAGTTTTTCATTATTAAATATTTTGGCCAAATAGAATAAATAAACTCGTATTAAAAATATAGATTATTTTTAAAAAAAAATTGGGGAATTTAAATCACAATTTAAATCAAATTTTTTTTTAAGCTAACCCTAATGTTTTTTATCAAATCTTTTGAAATTAGCAAATGCAGTATGGTTTAAATGCTTTCACCAAAAATATTTTGCCATTTATAATATTTTTCTTGTCCTTTTCTTTATGATGTTTTATCTCTTGCCTTACTTTATTTTATAAAAATTTCTCTAATCCATTTTAAAAGTGTATATTAAAATTAACAATTACCTCATGGTTTAAATTAATCATGTCATGATGAATAATTAATTTATGAAAATGAAAATTCAAAAAAGTTTCTAAATAATAAGAATTCCCTACAATAAAAATTAAATATGAAACTAAAACAGATAGGATCTTATGTTTATATTAAATTTAAATTATTCCTAGTTTAAAGGATTCTGCATGACTTTTTATTTTAATATCATCTTTTCCTTAAAATGTCTAAAATTAAAAAAATGTCATAAGGATTAATTTACAAGCCTGTAGAATATAGCTGAAAAATTGAATATTATAAATCCTAAAATCTCATCCAAATAATTAATTTTTATTTTTAAAAACGAGTTTGATTAGTGTTTAGATAAATTTTCCATAGTCTAGATTGGGTTGAGAAAAAATATCCAAAAATCTATGTTCATTACTCAAAATCAAGATTGAAATCTTAAATTTAGATTAAACTTTGCAAAAAAAAATATGTGTAAAATATTGTAATAATATATAAACTAAAATTGGTAGAAAACTAAAGGAAATAAATTATACTTATTGAGGGTGTTTTATTGTATAACTCTTTAAGTAGAAGTGGTTTGGGAATTTCAAGAGGATGAGTCATTAATGTATAGCTATTAACATTCCTTTTATTATAATAGGCAAGGAATAAAAAGAAGAATATTATATAAACATGCATCAATTAATATTAATTTACTACTATAAAATTACTTTTGACCTATATTTATATGTGATATTTTATCCTTATAATTATATCCTTAGACAAGTTAAAAATTTTATAACTTTTAAAGGCTATATTATAAAAATTATTTGAATTTTTAATTTCTAATTTAAAGTCAACATACTAGTGACAAACATTGACTCTTTAAAAATAATTGAATAAAAAATAAAATTTGAATTTATTTATCAATTTTTAGAAAAATTACATACCCATTTTTGTCATTTGATCCTAATATAAGAATACCCTTATGAGTAACCCATGATCTTTGGTAGAAAAATGGAAGTTTTGATTCATAATCTTCTTTACCATATGTATATAAGGTACTATTAGTTAAAATACAAACATCTAATTAATAAAATAACAAATATTTTTTTTAGAAAATAATCACCATCTGATTGCAATCTAAATTCTGGGTTGCTTTCATCAAAATTAAAGCTATGTGCATCTTTAATATCATAATCAAGACTATACATTCGTTTTAACTAATTTTTAAAAAAACATGACATTTTTTATATAGTACTTTTTACATGTTTCCTGTTGATAAGCCTTTTATTTTGGTATAATATATTTTTATATATAACAAACTCTTGTGCAAAGTTATTAATTGTGTGTAATTTAAGGATCTAATTAAAATTTAAAATGATATGGCTAATAAATTTAAAAAATACATATTGATAAGACTTTCCATTTTCTTTATCTTTAAAAATATCCTCATTAGCTATTTTTAAAAGCATGAAATTTGAAAATTTTGAATTCTTCATATTGAAAATTCAATGAAAGAATGAAAACATATGAAATTAAATGGGTTGTGGTATATATAGGTAAAAATGGACGTCTGGACAATGATATAGTTATATATGTTGTGACGTCCAAATTGATCACTATCTATTAACTAATCGCGATCTATAAAATAAAAGATTTATTTTTTTTATTCTAATATTAAATTGACTTTAATCTCGCGGACTCGTTTTATAAAATTAACTCAATAATTCGACATGAATTACTTGATAGATTTTGTAAACTATATAAACTTAGAAAATTATTGTACTTACCAGTTAAAAAATTAAAAAAAATTTATTTAATAAAGTAAATGTCTGTTTCTCATTTTTTGCCAACCTTAATATGGTGGCAGCAGCTATCTTTGTAAATTTCTTTGTAAATTAAAATTTTATTAAAATATAATTTCATATTTCTAAAAATAAAAAAATTAAATTATATAAAAAAAAACAAGAATAGAATTTTTTTTCAATTAATTAAATATGATGGAAGATAAAAAAAAATTAATTTCTAATGATACTATATCATATAAATACGAATTTCCTAAATATATAAGAAACATTGATATATATTTAACCAAAATTGAACTTATTTTTAAAAAAAATAACAGCACAGATGAGGATAACGCCACGACCTTACTTCATAATTTACCTAATGGCATATTCTCAAAATTACAATCAATATGCACTGAGTCCGATCTCAAGAAATCGACGATACTCATCAACAAACTTAGATAATTACAGCCTTCCGAGATTTGAAACAAAAAAATTAGCGAATTCAATACTGTAGTTCAAAAAGAGGGAGAAAGTTTTTTAGATTGGGTTACCCGTATTTGTCAACTCAATATGGACTGCAACTTTATCGGCTACGACAGGGTTTTAGAAAAAATAAAGGTATCAAGCTCTTCTAAGGAAATTAAATACAGAATTAAAGATTTACTCATTTTAGATGACATTATAAAGGTAGGCAAAGAATTAGATGAAACTGACATCGAAACATCTGTATATAAGATTGTCATCAAAGAAAATATACACTCCGATCTAAAACATTTCGAGGGAGCAAGACAAAGTAAGAAAGTTTATGAACTAAAACCAACTAATATTAGTTATGACAACTCCCAGATGATGCCATATGTTGAGAGCAACAGATATCATGATAATAATTACAGCCATCAGTTTAGACAACCATGACAGACTCGACCATATTATGGCAACATAAGATTCAACAACCAAAATAGCTATCATTTTCCAAGCCGAAATTATGATAGATTTTGTGGTCAAAATAGATTTCTTATATTCCTTTCAATAATCACGACACAAGAGATTAATAGATTTAATAATAACAACAAAGGACATAATAATAATTACAAGCCTTTTAATGATTTCAAAAACCACAACAGATTTGACAACACCAGACAACCGTTTCAAAATTTTAGAGGTTATATTAGATCCAACGTGCATCAACAATTTTACGATCGTGACAATAAAAATTACATGAATCATAATCCTAGGCACCAAGTACCTTATTCAAATAAAATTAATACAGTTGATATAGAAGAGACGAAGACGACAAAATCATATCAATCGATAAGAAAGATTATAAATTATTAAATATTGATATAAATAACGTAGAAAACGAAGTATAAAATGTCAAAGATAACGCATACATGGTGAACATCAAAATTAATAACATCTTGACTTCACTACAAGTGGATACGGGCACGAAATTCACAATTCTACCAAAGTATATGATTGAGAAAGTAGGCATAAAAAACATTACGAATTCCAACATTCAGTTATCTGGTTACGACGACAAGACCATCCAAGTGATAGGCTCACACGACTGAATGTAGAATACGAAGGAAGTTCTCAAATTTTAGATGCATTGATAGTAAACAGTTACAAGATGCCTTTATTAGGAAGATCTTGGTTAAAACATTTTAAAAACACTTGAAAAATTCATAGGCTTAATTGACGCGGATCATAAAGATGATTTGGCGGAATTAATATCCAATTGTAAGTCTAAATTAAATTACAAACCTGTTATAAAAACGCAAGTCAGATTATGACTAAAGTCAAATGCTAAGCCAAAAATTATACCGCCGAGAAGAGTACTTTATTCTAGAGTAGATATTATAACTAAAGAATTAAATACCTGGCTGGAAAACAAGATCATCGAGCCGGTAAAAGTCGTTAGATGGGCGAGTCCACTCACACCAGTTTTTAAAAACAATGGTAGTCTCAGATTGTGCACCGACTTTAAAGACACAGTTAACCCAGCGCTTGAAGATTTCAAATACCCCATACCTAGAATTAACGATTTGATTGCCAAGTTAGCTGGACGAATAAAATTTAGTAAAATTGATTTCAAACAAGCCTTCCTGCAAATTCCTATTCACAATGACTCTAGAGATTTGCTAACTATATCCACGCATAAAGGATACTTCAGATTCACGAGACTTCCGTTCGGACTGAAAACATCTTCAGCCATATTCCAAGACTATGGAACAGATTTTCGGAGATTTAAAAGATGTTATATTCTACAGTGACGACTTGTTAATTACAGGCGATAACGATGAAAAACATTTGGAGAACATTAAAAAAGTATTCGAAAAGATCATTAAGTATGGATTAACCCCCAATTTCGACAAAAGTTTATTCATGCAAGATAAAATACGCTTTTTGGGACATGATATATACAAACATGGTATACATCCCAACGATGATAAAATAAAAGCAATTATAGATATGTCGGAACCAAAAAATTCAGAAGAATTATCAACTTTCTTAGGCATGGCGAGCTATTACCTTAAATTTTTAAACAGTTTTGCGGATCTGGCAGATCCACTATATAAAATAATCAACAAAGATAAATGGTCTTGGGATACCCAACATCAAGCATGTTATAAAAGATTAAAAACTTTAATCAGTCAACCTCCCACATTGAACTTTTTCAATCCTGATTTACCCATAGGTATAGCCGCGGATGCATCTAAACGCGGTTTGGGAGCTATTTTATTTCACTTAGAAGGGGACGGCAAAGAAAAGCCGATAGCTTTTGCCTCAAGATCCTTATTTAAATCCGAGAGAAATTACACTAACATCGAACGCGAAGCGTTGGCGATTATTTTCGCGATGAAAAGATTTTAAGAATATCTTATCGGAACTAAATTTACAATCATCACCGATCACAAGCCGTTGATTTATATATTTTCCAAAGGTTTAAAAGAAAATTCATCTATGTCGATGAGGTTGCAGAAGTGGAATATTGCAATGGGAGCTTACGACTTCGAAATACGACATAGAGCGGGTAAACACAACATGGTGCCAGATTGTTTGTCCAGATTGCCATTAATATCTTTAGAAGAAGAAATACACATTATAGATGACATAAAAGAAAATAATGATTTATGGGACTACCAATTAACTTTAAAATGATCGAAGAGAATTAATGGAAATAATGAACGACATTAGAAACGGTGACACGATAAAAAATAAAACATATAACAATATGGTGACGGAATTATGTATTATGGGAAATTGTCTATTTAAAGAAAATAAAATCTTCATACCTAAAGTTTTAAGAAAATCAATACTACAACATTTACACGAAGGACATTTGGGTGCTGGCAAAACCAAACATTTAGCTAAAGAATACCTTTGGTGGCCTGGAATTAACAATGATATTGATAACGAAGTAAAAGAATGCAAATCATGTAACATTTGGGCCGATAATTCCATTAATACACAGCATCCTTGGATGTTAACGACGAAACCATTCGAAAGAATAGACATTGATTACGCTGGGCCATTTTTTAACAAGTACTGGTTGCTTATAGTAGATACGTACAGTAAGTTTCCTATAATCATGCCGGTGAAATTAATAACCTCGGAATTTACAATAAAAGAATTGATGAAAACAATTAGCTTATTTGGTATTCCAGAACAAATAGTTTCTGATAATGGCTCAAACTTTACAAGTCAACTGTTCAAAAAATTTTGTAGAGACCATGATATACATCACTTTCAGACTTCAGCTCACCATCAACAGTCAAACGGGCAAGTTGAAAGGATGGTAAGAACCTTTAAATCACATATGAAGAAGTGCATGGAACAAAATAATATGGACATAGATATCGCTTTGGAGAAATTTTTGTTCAATTACAGAAACACGCCAAACAGTACGACTGGCATCCCACCATGAGAACAAATTGGGATTTATTAAAATATAAGAAAGACGACGACAACACTTCGAGTACAGTTTTGCCAAAAAATAGAACGATGAATATTGGAAAAAATGGTATATAAATTTTGGAGTAAACAAGTGGGATGAAGGTGTTATAATAAAAAAAGAAAGTAACATTTTATTTCAAATTTAAACGAAAAATGGTATATTAAGGAGGCACTTAGACCAACTTAAGAAAAGATTTACCACTAACGAAGTATTAATTCATGACCCAAATACTTTACCAACGATAAGGAGAGAAATGTTACTGAACAAGAAAAAGATTGTAAAGCCGACGTTACAAGGCCTAGCCGGAATAGAACATTACCCGCACGTTATCAAGATTATATTTTGAACATAAAAGATTCACGTCCAAGAAGAATTTGAGCGGAGTTTGTTTCTTAAGGGGCGAAATGTTGTGATGACCAAATTGATCGCTATCTATTAACTTCGCGATCTATTAAATAAAAGA